CGGCACCGCACCAAATAGAGAAATCCAAAAAATAAATAAAACGGAGATAAAGTATTTATACGTGAAAACCTAAATTGGGAAAAAATTGTAGTCTTTTTTAGGTCATACCATGCCAAGGGGAGGAACTTTTATTAATCCAACGGGAATTTACATATACATCATTGTAAGAGTCATTAATGAAACTTCAAGCTTAAAGAAGAAGAAGAATGAAGAATAATAGTAGGAACTTGTGGGAATTGGCCTCATTCACTCCTTCATACTCTCTCTTTTTAAAGGGGAATTCCTCTAAAAAATCCATGTGGGATCCGCTAAGATGTAGGTTACTCTCTTCCCTTTTCGTGTGTAGCTTTCTTTTAAGGAAGAGAAGAATAATTAATTGAGGCAAGCATGACATCCTCCATGTGAAAGGCACATGATTTTCAATAAAATTTCTTTGTGGTCCCACAAGATATATTTACATCACTTCAAATATATTTTTTTGTATATACTCTGGGATATATCTCTAGCCCCATATTAAATAATTTATCTGATTTATATCTTGAACCAGATTGAATTGAGCTTACTTATATATTCTTCAAAAAATATTGAACTAAATAAAATCTTTGATCCATCAAATTCTATATTGTTTAAAATAGTTTTAAGCTAACATCGAAAGAGAGACACAGGGGTATAAATGTAAAAAATTGGTTTTGGGAGGGAAGAGTGTGTGCATCTCGAGAGCTCTTTGCTTCCATTTTCGGGTCGCCACATGGCCGCTTCGTTCTCAACGAATCTTTCTTTCTTCTCCGTTCGCCTGAGTTCAGGCCTCCAACACGAAGCCCGAATTCCCTTTCTCTCTCTCTCTCTCTCTGTTACCCCTTCTCCCAATGATGGTGGCGATCATGCGATGAGAGAGAAACACGGGCACACCGCCGCCGTCAGCCTCAGCCGAGAAACACCGTCGTTGCCATCTCCTGCACCACCGCCCCGCGAATAATGAATGGAGAAGGAAACGACTTTTTCCAGGAACTCCGTCTGATCGTGGCCATCTTCGCCGTCCTCGCCCCCAACCGTCATGTCTCCGCCGACGACGCCGCTGTCATGGTGAGTCTCGCGAAATCCCTCTCCCCCGTCCCCGCCGGCTGGACGGGGAACGACCCGTGTAAATGGCCCGGCGTGGAATGCGACGGCCTGGGCCGCGTCAAGTCCATCAATCTCTCTTCCATGTTCCTCACCGGCCGGTTACCGCCGGATCTCAACCAGCTCTCCGCCCTGACGTCACTGAATCTCGAAATGAACAAACTCTCCGGCGCCTTGCCTCCACTCTCGGATCTCTCTGCCCTAGAGGATCTCAACCTCGACGGCAACAATTTCACCTCCGTAACGCCCAATTTCCTCGCCGGCGTTACAAATCTACGGACGATCTGCATCAACGACGTCCCCAGCCTCGCGCCGTGGCCGTTCCCGGAGGAAATCACGGCATGTTCATCCCTCGTCAGCTTCTCCTGTACCCGATGCAATCTGGTGGGCCCGATTCCGGACATTTTCGGGTCAATTCCAACCCTAGAAACCCTAAAGCTTTCCTACAACAACCTCACCGGCTCCCTGCCGCCGTCTCTCGCTCAGTCCGGGATCCAGGTCCTAACACTCAACAACCAGCTTTCGGGTCTTTCGGGTCGGGTCGACGTGATAGGGAAGATGGAACAGGTGACCCAGATCTGGCTCCACGTGAACAAATTCACCGGCCCAATCCCAGACCTGTCGAGATCCCATTTCCTCTCCGATCTCAAACTCCGAGACAATCTCCTCACCGGAGTGATCCCGGACTTCTTCTCGTCACTCCCGAAGCTCACCAACGTCTCGTTGCAGAACAACATGTTCCAAGGCCCAATGCCCAATTTCCCCAGAACCGTTCATGTGGACATCGGAAACTCCAACAGCTTCTGTCACCCTGTTCCCAAACCTTGTGATCCGCAGGTGAATGTTTTGCTGGAAGTTGCCAAAGATTTGGGGTACCCTTTGGTTCTGGCAGATTCTTGGAAAGGGAATGATCCCTGTGAGGATTGGGACTATGTTGCCTGCGATGTCACCGGGAAAATCTCCGTCATCAATCTATCCAATCATAACTGGATTGGGACAATATCTCCGGCGTTGGGTAACCTCACCGGTCTCAGAGAACTGATCTTGCATGACAATCAGCTCACCGGCGTCATCCCTGAAACCCTAACCACCCTGCCTCGCCTCCAGCTTCTTCATATCTCAAACAACAATGTTTCAGGAAATATCCCGCCTTTTTCTCGCAACGTGACTGTTAAAACCGAGGGCAACCCATTTATCGGGGTGGAATTGCCCAAGACATCTCCATTTGTCCCCGTGTTCCAAAAACCGCAAACTTGGTCCGCCCAAAAGACAGAGGAGAAGAAAAACGAGAAGAACAAGAAGAAAGGCGACTTGTCCCACGGCATCATCATTGCCATTGCCATTGCCGGTGCCCTACAAATTGCAGCCATTTGTTGGGTCATACACAACCGTTGCAACAAGATGAGGAAATGCAAGTGGTGGGCGAAGGAGAAAGGTAATAACAGCGGCAATAAAACCCCCAAAGAGAAGCCGAACACTTATTATGAAGGTGGGAATGTCCTGATTCCAATTGAAATACTAAGGGAAGTGACCAATAACTTCAGTGACCTTAACGTCTTAGGAAGAGGCGGGTTTGGGGTTGTCTACAGAGGCCAACTCTACGATGGCACACAAATTGCTGTCAAGAGGATGCAGTCTGTTGACATGTTCAGCTCAAAGGGTGTCAACGAGTTCAAGGCCGAAATCGAGGTTCTGAGCAAGGTCCGACACAGGCATTTGGTGGCACTCCATGGTTTTTGTGTCAACAGGGACGAGAGGCTTTTGGTTTATGAGTTCATGCCACAGGGGACTTTGGGCCAGCATTTGTTCAGGCATGAAGGAAACCGGCAACCTCTGTCGTGGAAGCAACGAGTGACGATTGCATTAGATGTCGCCAGGGGGGTTGAGTATCTGCATGGATTGGCGCAACAGAGCTTCATACATAGAGATCTCAAGCCTTCTAATATTCTTCTTGGAGATGGGATGAGAGCTAAGGTTTCCGATTTCGGCCTGGTAAAGAACGCCCCTGATGGATCTTGCTCCTTGGAGACTAAGTTGGCTGGAACATTTGGCTATCTTGCACCAGAATATGCTGGTATACCCCCATTAAACTCCATCCATTTCCTTTTTTTTATGTAATACGGATGTCAAGAAACTGACTCAACTCAAACACGTAATTTTATGTTCAAAAGATGGTTTTACATTCCAAGACTATTTTGCCAGTCCCTATAAACTAATCATACTCTTACAATGAAAACCAACTAGTTAATAACCATCTACAGTATTTGTGCTTATAAACAGCAACAGGGAGAGTGAGCACAAAAGTGGACGTGTACTCCTTCGGGGTTGTCTTAATGGAGATGATCACGGGCAGAAAGGCGCTAGACGAGAGCTTACCAGAGGAGAGAGTTCATCTGGTCCCATGGTTCAGGAGACAACTGGCAAACAGAGAGAAACTAAAGGCCATCATCGACCCTTGTCTTGAACCAGACAAAGAAACCTTCGAAAGAATGTGCAGAGTCGCAGACCTGGCAGGATACTGCACGGCTCGCGAACCTCACCAGAGACCGGACATGAACCACGCGGTCAATATCTTGTCTCCCATGGTGGAGGAATGGGTACCCGTGAGCAGGGAGGATGAAGATGACGACGAAGAAGATAGTTTTGGGGCCGACTTCCGTTTGAGCTTGCCTCAAGCTTTGCAGAGATGGAAGGCAAGTGAGGATAGTAGTAGTGTTAGTGAGGATATGTATGATAGTAGCTGCAATTCAACAACTATGATGTTGGGGAGATTGCATCAAGGACATTCAAACTCATTTAGAAATTAGGAACTTTAAATTCTAATGTAAAAAAATTGTGGATGACAAGGTAGCTAGATTTTGCAATAAATTATATTCATACAATTTAGGCCCTCTTCTCTTGGGACTGAATTTCAGAATTGGATGTTCGAAAAATTGGAAGAAATCAGAAGAAAATGGAAAAAACTAGAAGAAATTGGAAAACGTTGAGAAATAAAAATGTTAAAAATTACCCAATTAAATGATTATCCAAATAAATACTCCCTCCGTCCACAAATAAAGTTCTCATTACGCGTTACGATGTTTGACTGAAATTATTTTCAAATCATTTTATATGAAATATGGTATGGAATTAAAAAATAAAAATTACATATTTAAAAACTACATGAAAAGATCTACAAAACTAGAGGTGACATGACTATATTATTTTATCAAATAAGACACAAAAATAGGCCAACAAAGTGAATAAAGTTTAACCCTGTGAATAGTGAACGAGAATTTTATTGTTGGACGGAGGGAGTATGTAAGAAATCTCTATTTTTGGATTAAAAAATCCATCCTTGTACGTGTTTTAGATGGTATATTATAAATTTAGATATATAATGTCATTATATATATTCATCATATATAAATACCATTTTTAAATCATTGTCAGAAGAAACTAGAAGAAGTTGGAAGAACTGGAAGAAAATTGAAAAAAACTGGAAGGAGTTGAAAGTTAATTTTTCTAACACAAAAAAATATTGGCCTTAGTGAGTGAGCCACATGATAAAGGTTTGGATTAAGCTATTTGTACACCAAAATTTGTACCCCATTTTTTAACTCAAAGGCATGCACTGATATTTTGTGCTAGTGTGATGATTTACATTAACAAAAATTATATGCAATTTTTTTTATTTGAACTAATATTTTCTACCCGTGTGAACTGTAAAAATGTTAGTGCATTTCTTTGGGGTAGACTTTTGGTGTACCCGTGGCATGGTTGTTTGGTTATGGACGTGTACAATTTTTTTAAAATATAGCAAATAATAAAGTGAAGATGAATACTCCATACTACTCCCTCCGTCCAAAAAAATGTTTGACACATTTGCTTTTTCAATCGTCACATAAACTTTTATTTATTTGATGCGTCGTTTATTAATTATAGTCACTTACTACTATAACTATATGTCTACAAATATGGTCTTTCGTTGGAATACTACCTTACAATCATAGTCATTATTTTTGTGTTATCTATCCAACCAATATTAGAATACATCACTGAACTTAAGATTAATATCAAATTATACTTTTAACATTTAAATTAACACCAACATGGTAAAAGATCAAAAAAAATATTTGCGAGAATGGTGGAAACTTTCTAGGGATATGCTAGGGGTACACCAAATGTGTACCCCAAATGTACACCACTTTCCTTTCTATTCATTTTATTTTATTTTTATTTTTTTATTTATTTTTTTTTTGAATTTTTCTTACTTTTTTGTGGTGACGGGGGGTGTTTGGGGTACACTTTCTATACCTCATGCTTCTAAAGAAAGCCATGCTAGGGGTACACCAAAAGGTGTGCCCCAAATGTACACCACCCTTTCTCCACTATACATTTTTATTTGATTTTTATTTACTTATTTTTTTTTAAATTTTTTTGTCTTTTTTAGTGGACAAAGAGGGGGTGAGGAACATATGGGGTATACCTTTGTGTACGGGTAGCATTTTTATTCTAAAGAATGTGGAAACTTTACGGGTGGAATATATTCGCCTCCTTTAAAGGTTTTCAGAGAATCTATCAAGCTTAGTGCTACAAGACGTTTGAGGCCATATTGGACATTTACCTTTGGTGGGACGCAATAGGAACCATTCTACCGTTAGACCAACTAATAGTTTTGATAGTCCCTTTGTTAAAAGAATTTCACATGCACAAAATGAAAAAAATTTAATTTTATTTAAAGATTAATATAAAATAAAAAATAAAATTTCATACTTAAAAATTACGTCAATTTTTTTAAAATATAGGTGATAAGAAATTTATTTCATCAAACACTAAATAAAAACGCGCAATTTTTTAATTTTACATGGTTTTTTATATAAAATAATTTAAAAATAACTTCAGTCATATACTCCTTCCGTCCCTAAATATTTGTTACATTTAAATTCACGAGGCAAGATATCAAGTTTTTTCAATTCATTTTATTTACATATTGGTATAGAAATAAAAAATAAAATTTACATAAAAAAAATACATGAAAAGTTCTTCGAAATAAGAGGTATCAAGAATGTTTTATTTTATCAAATAACCAATGAAAACGTAAAAATAAATAAAAATTCCTGCGACTTTTAAAAAAACAAATGTTGTAATATTTTAGGATCTTAAAATTAAACTATTTAAATTGGTAGACTATATTAGTGAACTAACTGAACTTCAAAAAAAACAAGGTCCGGCACTTCCTCCCTTTTTTTCAAAAAGTCCATCTTCTCGAGCTGAATATCAAAGTCTAATCACTGCAGAAACTCACACAAATCAATGTTGAATTCTTGGGCTTAAACATTTTCGAATTCAAACCATTTGTTAATTACTCCAATCCCTTCCGAAAATCCGGAAGAAAGACTCCAAATCTTCAATCATGGCTTCACCGGTCCTTCTTCTGGTTTATCTCCTCGCCGCCGCCGCCGCCGCCGCCGCCTTATCGTCCTTTTCCGGTAAGTCTCGAGCTCATTTCTCTCTGCAACTAATAATACTCCTATTCAAGTGTTTAATCATTTAAATCTTCTTCTGCTTCTTGTTCTTCATTTATTGAATCTCAGGAGCAGAACTTACCCGGGGAATGGGAATCTGTTACGGCCAGCTGGGGAATAATCTCCCCGTCCCTGCGAAATCTGTGGAGCTCATCCATGGCCTTAAGGCCAAACGGGTCAAGATCTACGATGCCAACCCGGAAATCCTCAAATCTCTTCAAGATTCCGACCTCCATGTCTCCGCCATGGTCCCCAACGAGCTCATCCCCAGAATCTCCTCCGATCAGAACTTCTCCGACCGGTGGGTTCTCACCAATATTGCCCCCTTCTACCCGCGAACCATGATCCGGTACCTTCTCGTCGGGAACGAGATCCTCAGCAACCCGCCCAACACTACCTGGTTCCGGCTCGTCCCCGCCATGCGCAACATCCGGCGATCTCTCCGCAAGTTTCGGCTCCGGAAGGTCAAAGTCGGCACTCCGCTGGCCATGGACATGTTGGAGTCTTCCTTCCCGCCGTCCAACGGAACTTTCCGGTCTGACCTCACCGACGGCGTTTTCCGGCCGCTGTTACGCTTCCTGAACGATTCTAGATCCTTCTTCTTCTTCGACGTTTACCCGTACTTCGCTTGGGCGGCTCAACCCGAATCCATTGATTTGGACTACAGTCTCTTGAAGCCCACGAATGTGACCTATTCGGATCCGGTTTCGGGTCTGACGTACACTAATTTACTGGACCAGATGATCGATTCGGTTTACTCCGCCATGAACCGGCTCGGGTACCCGGATCTTCCCCTGTTCATAGCGGAAACGGGTTGGCCCAACGCCGGCGGCGTCGATCAGATCGGAGCGAACATTTACAACGCGGCCACGTACAACCGGAATATTGTGAAGAAGTTCAACGCCAAGCCGCCGGTCGGGACGCCGGCGAAGCCGGGAGTGGGGGTGCCGACCATGATTTTCGCTCTGTTCAACGAGAACCAGAAGCCGGGGCCGGGAACGGAGCGACATTTCGGGCTGTTGCACCCGAACGGAAGCAACGTGTACGAGATCGATCTGTCCGGGAAGACGCCGGAGTCGGAGTTCAAGCCGCTGCCGAAGCCTCGGAACAACAAGCCGCCGAAAGGGAGGTTCTGGTGCGTGGTGGCGCCGGGGGTGGGGAATATGACTGCGGTGGATGCCGCCAAGTCATGGGCCTGCGGGCAGGGTAATGGGCTCTGCGACCAGATCCAAGAGGGCGGGAAGTGTTATAGCCCCAATAATTTGACCCAAAGTGCAAGCTACGCATTTAGTGCTTATTGGGCCAAGTTTAAGAGTGTAGGTGGGACCTGCGACTTCAATGGCGTTGCCAAAATGACACGCAAGAACCCAAGTAAGTAAATTCTTCAAATATTACTCACAATTTCATAAATTCCTATGTGTTACTAATTCCGTCGTAAGTATTTGTCTAATTTTTTCTTTTGTTCAGTTAATCATTTTTAACCTTTAATTTATAGTTAATTAAAATATATATTGTTTATTAATTAGATAAAATAACATTTTAAAATATTTTATATAATAAATTTAATAGACCTAATTTTAATATAAAAAAAAAGGCAAAAGTGGACAAAAACTCTGGGACAGATGGAGTACGCGTCTCATACAGTAACTATAATGAATACGGAATATATCAAAGAACGACTAAAATGTCAAGCCTTAGCCCGTCATTCTGCGGACGAGCCAAGTACGTGGACCCGTGATCGGGTCTCGTTACACGGGCATCCTCGGTTTGATAGAGTGGGATTAGCATTTTGAGCCCAAAGAAATAGAAATGACGAATGTGGATTTAAATTTGCAGGCCATGGGGGGTGCAGGTTTCCAAGTGTGACCTTTCGTTGACATATCAAACTTTCATATCTGGGAAAAGAGAAGAAAGAAAGCCTACGAGTTCACACACGAGGGAGTCTAGGAACACACTGATATCCCACTTACTACTCTATTATCCAAGATTCGATTTGCATTCTTTTTGTTTTTGTATTTTTTTCTCATTTTGTTGTGTTTTTCTTTTTTTGTTCAAAATTTTGTGTATGCCATGTTGGGTGTGGTCATGTATCTTAAATCAATTCGTGCTTATACAAAAACTTGTGTGTTTGTTCAAATTAGTACATACAAAAGTCTTTTCTCTTAATGGTTTTTTCTAATTAAAGATCTCCATTTGATTCCAACTTTAAAAGCTTTTTATAAGTTTTTGATAATTCTAGATTATGTGTAGTTAGTGTACTGTTTTAATTTTACATTTAATTGTATGAAAATGACCATTTTGAGAATATATATTCCCTCCGTCCCTAAATAAAGTTCCATTTTTGATTTTTTGAGAATTTAAGGGAGGGATATTTTGGTGTTGACTTTCCAAAATACCCTTGATGTGATGTGTTAAAGTAAGATGTGATAAGTAGATTATTAGTAAAAAGGTATGATGTGATAGGTAGGGTATGAAAAAGTAAGGGGTAAAAGGAGTTTTTTAAGGGAAAAGAGAAGTTTATTTAGGGACAAAGAAAAAATGAAAGAGTAACTTTATTTAGGGACGGAGGGAGTATTAAACTTAGATGATAGAAGTACTAAAATAACTTTTAATTAATCATTATTTGAGTAATATTATTTATGAAAGACTATATATGGATCAAATTTCAATTATACAGAGTCACGTAGATAAATAGAATTTATTGAGGACTGAATTAAAAATATTTATTACAAATGATTGTTTTGAGAATTTACTCTATGTTCTATGCATCTTTTCCTAGTATATTCACTTTCCAACTCCTAGTAGACATAAATCTCTTGCATATAAATACTCATCTATATCTCTGAAGCGTCTAGAAGAGCACCGTCGGGCTTTGTCAGATGACGCACGGGACAACATCTGATATGTTCAACGAATATTTGAAGATGCCAGCTCGAGGCATCAGGTCAAGTGTATATAAATTTTCTGAATTTATTATTCGACTTTATCACAAAAAGTATTTATGTTAGCTGACAGCGAGCGACATTAAGCAGTTATAGGCTAAGCATGCCGCTAAACATGGTTTTGTCCGTATTTTTGGGAACATCGATTGCACACATCGCGAATGAAAAAATTGTACCACTACGTGGCATGATCAGTTTTCTCGGGGTGATAATCTCAAGCCTATTATCATGTTCAAAGGTGTAGATTCTAATGACTTGTGAGTTTGGCATGTATTTTTGGGTGTTGCGGGCTCAAACAACATCAATATTCATAATCAATCACCTATTTCTGACAATTGGATTAATAAGTCTACACCCAATTCGTCTTTTGAGCTTAGAGGACTGCTTTAAAAGTGTTGATATTATCCTGCGGTTGAAATATATCCAAATTATTTCACGATTGTCAAGTCTCTTTTTGAACCAATGGTCTTATACGCCAGGCAAAAAAGCTCATGAGGCGGCGAGAAAGACATCAAACGAGTCTTTGGTGTGTAGAAGGTAAGTGACAAATTCTAGATCGTCCATCCAAATGTTATTTTCAAACGAAAATAAGAAATATTATGTACGCATGTATTGTTCTTCATATTATGATCATAAAGAAAATCGAGTTTGCAATAAGTTATTACAATCCAAACAATGAGGTGCCTACGTATGAATAAATCAATGAGGAATATAAACGAAGAAATTGACAATAAAGGTTTGAAGTCCAAATTTGAAATTCCGAAACTTTAAAATCATTTCCAAAATTTGTGGTGTAAGTTAAAGTTGATGTTGACTACCAATATCGATTGATTTTTGGGAAAAATAAGTGGGTGTCGTATTATGGGAAACCCCATTAATGCTTATTTATATACACGTACCGGAAACTACCAATGATTAAATTCACCACCAAACAGTCGCATCAACCCGCAATTTCTCAGTGAAACCGCCACCGTGAGTAGCTAATTAGCTATGGCCGGAAGGAAGCTTATGATGCAGGCGGTTCAGTACGACGGTTATGGAGGCGGCGCCGCCGCTCTGAAGGTATTAACGCGCGCACGCTCACACACCCTCCCTCTCTGTCTATGTCTAAATTTGCAATTCAATCTTGTTTTGGTTGTTTGGATTAATCGAATGTTTTCGTGATTGCGAACCCCAGTGTTCTTCGCGACCAGATATTCAAACCCTGGTAGAAATTGATGTTGTTTTTCTATTAAATCCTCTCGATCCGTCTGTAATTTCATGGGATTGAAACTCATAGCAGTGGAATTTGGGGTTTGGGGTTTCATACACAATAATTTGATTTAATAACTGATAATCATGAGTTCCAATTGATATTTAAGCCCAAAAATGACTGCTGAAATGTCTATCTATAGCCCAAATTTCCAACAAAAATGTTCACTTTATGGAAGCTGAAAACGAGACTGTGATAGGTTTTTTGGCTGTAGAGTTCTAGAATATACCATAGATTGACTGAAAAGGGCAGGTATTGAGACTATATTTGTCCTAAGAGACCTGTTTGGTAGGAGTAATTTGGATGTAATGACTGAATTAGCCAGAAAATTTTCGAAGTAAGGACTTTGTTAACATCCATTTCATTTAAACAAGTAAATCAAAAGCTTCTTGATGTGTTTAGAAGGAAATAGATGCCCAATGAAGCTTAAATCCATGACTGAGTAGTGAGTACACCCCAATGTTGCAGAACAGATGCAGATGTTACGTAGTACTCCGTTGTTGATTTACAATATAGGAATAATAGTTGTATAATATGAGGTTGAAACGGTATGACATAGATTGAGTGTTGCAGCATGTTGAAGTTCCAGTGCCTACTCCCGGTAAAGGTGAGGTTTTGCTAAAGCTTGAAGCCACAAGCATAAACCCAATTGATTGGAAAATCCAAAAAGGCATCCTCCGCCCTCTTCTCCCCGGCAAATTTCCTTACATACCTGGTTAGTCTTGCACCTCCCAATCTTTACTATGTCGAATTTTCACCGTTTATACTCTGTTCCGAACCGAGAAAATGCAAGTTTCGGACAAAATTGTTTTTCCTTGGTAGTTCGTACCGTACCTTACAAGGTAAAACCAAACACACAAATATATTCTATGGGCTTGTTCTGTACACGTTCTTTGCCAGGAGAAAAAGACGACTTTTCATGCACATTCTGAGCTGTATATCTTTTCTACCACAATGTAAAATGATGTGTAGTTTTATAGACATAACACCTTTCTCACTTCTTGCTGGAGCAGCAACTGATGTTGCAGGAGAAGTAGTTGACATCGGGTTTGGTGTGGAGCATTTCAAGGCGGGTGACAAAGTCGTGGCTATACTCAGTCATTTTGTAAGTCTTATTACTGCTCAACGCGTGGATTTTGTTTAGTCATTTTGTAAATCCTCATTGTGGATTTTGTTTAGTGTGGCCTTGTGGGTTGTAGACAATGTGTCTTGACAATTTGAAAGGCAAAGGATGTGTTAGGAAATAAACCCAATTCCCACACCAAATGGAAAAGAAGAAACAAATCAATATATATGAGCTCACACATCTCCATTAGGAATTGATAAAAAAAACTAAGCAGACGATATCATACATGTAGCCCCAACAAAATGATTGTTGTTTTGAACAGCTCCCCTTTTATTGTTATTCTTTTTGTAATGAACTTAAATATGTGCTTTATGACAGAGTGGAGGTGGATTTGCAGAGTATGCTGTGGCTAAAGAGAGCCTCACGGCCATAAGACCAGCACAGGTACAAGCTGCCGAAGCAGCCGGGCTTCCCGTTGCGGGCCTAACAGCCCACCAGGCCCTGGTTGAGCTAGCCGGGATAAAGCTCGGCAGCGGCAGCAGCAGCAGCCCACCTAAGAATGTGCTCGTGACAGCTGCCTCAGGCGGGGTGGGCCACTACGCCGTTCAGCTCGCAAAGCTGGGGAACGCGCACGTGACCGCCACGTGTGGGGCCCGAAACATCGAGTTCGTGAAGAGTTTGGGAGCGGACGAGGTGATTGACTATAATACCCCCGAAGGAGCGGCACTCAAGAGCCCGTCGGGCAAAAAGTACGACGCGGTCATCCACTGCGCCACGGGCATCCCGTGGTCGACGTTTGAGCCACAGCTGAGCGAGAACGGGAAGGTGATAGACCTAACCCCAGGGCCAAAGGCCATGTGGACATTTGCTGTAAAGAAACTCACCATGTCAAAGAAGCAATTGATCCCATTGCTTTTGTCCCCAAAGAGTGTGAACTTGGAGTACCTTGCTGGGTTGGTGAAGGAGGGGAAGGTCAAAAGCGTCATTGACTCCAGGTACCCTTTAAGCAAGGCAGAAGATGCTTGGGCTAAGAGCATCGACGGGCACGCTACCGGCAAAATCATTGTGGAGCCCTGAAAAGAAAAAGAAAAAAAAACAAAGTGGTCTATGTTTATGGACATTTATTTGTCTCTTATGATAAACATTGTTTCTTGACCTTTTGAGTTTTAAATGATGCTTCCATAATGCTCTTCTTTTCGGTTGTAATTTTAAATTTGGATTTTGAAGGAAATGGGAAGAAGTTAGATGGAACTAGGGCCCTATTTGACATTGATCTTTAGAGATTAGCGTTAGTGTTTTGAAAAGACTATCTGATGGTAGCATTTAGTGTTACTGTTTTCAGAGTTAATCTGTACCGTTAAAATTTATCTAAAACGTTAATGTTAATTGAAAATGCTCTTTTCAAACAAATTCTAGAATGGGTTAGAAGAAACAAGAAACCGTTGGAAATATTGGAAAAGAGTGTTAAAAAATCACTCAAATAAATAATCATTCAAATAAATATATAAGAAAATTATTTTTTGATATAAAAAAAGAATTCATCTTTGTCCATGTTTGAGATGTTGTGTTATAAATATGAATATATAATATTATTATCATATGTAAACAAACACTTAACGCTCTTGTCAAACCAGTTTGCAAGTCACGCCCTACCTTCTTGCCTCGTAGATAGTGTCATTGTTCATAAGTTTTCTTGCATAGAATTTTTTCAATGTTATTCGCAATTAAGATTACTTCTTAACACTAGCAGGAAGAACAGAGTAACAAACAAATTCAACCAATCACAACAATTTGCTTGAGAATTCAAATTTGAATTTCCTAAAATACCCCCAATTGGCCTTGCCTCAAACCAAACACCCCTTAATTGAGGGCAACCATTGCCCTCATCTCATGAACCAGATCCTTGATAAATTTGCTCTGAATCTCTCTATCAAGCAAAAACTCCCTCCACTTCTTGTGGTTTGCCCTGATCAATGACCCTTTTGCCCCCATCGCACCCAAAACAGCTTCCTCAACATCCTCTTTCCCAAAATACCCATCCTCTTCTCTCCTATTCACCTCCACCCCCGCCGCCATGTCCGCCGCCACGAGCTTGGCGTTCAAGAACTGATCCCCTTTCTGCGGAATCATTACCAGCTGGCAGTCATTCGCCATTGCTTCGATCACCGAGCTGAACCCGGCGTGGCTGACGTGGCATCCCACGCTCCGGTGGGCTAGAATCTGCCGCTGCTGCACCCACCCTGAATGGATGGCCCCCCTTCCCTTCACCCTCTCTGCAAATCCCTCCGGCAGTGCTCTGTTCATCTCTGGCGACTTGTCGTCGCCGGACTCCGGGAAGTTGAGGACCAGAAGGAATGGGAGCCTGGTGAGTTCCAGGCCGAGAGCGAGTTCTTTGATCTGATCGTTTTTCAAGAACGTTTCGCTCCCGAAGGAACAAAAGATTACGGTTTTGGGTTCGAATTGGGACAGAAATTTCTCCCATTTCTCCTCCAATTTCCCGGTGGCCGGCACCGGGACTACCGGACCGGCGAGGAGGATGGGTTTCTTGAATTGGGATTTCACGTAATCTATGTAAGGACCTTCCATTTCGTAGCACGTTTTCGCTAGAATTGCGGAGCAGCCATTGAGTCCGGCGAGGACGCGATCGTAAACAGAGGAACTCCCATGGAAGCTTTTGAAGATGTAGAGAAAGTCTCGAGCTTCGAAGTCCCGGAGAGAGGTGACGGAAGTTTCGGGGAAACCCGGCGGGGGATTCTTCATTTCGTCGAGGGATGGAGATTTCCCGGCCTCCGGGAGCCTGGCGGGGACGGTGGCGAACGCGGTGGCGAGAGCGATGAAAACAGAGTAAAACAGGGTTTTAATCCCCAGCTCCGCCGCCAGCGGCGGAAGCCAATCCTGGGCGAAATCGAACACCACGAAATGTGGCCTGAGTCGAAAGAAGAGTCCCTTCACCTGCGGCTTCAAGAGGTCGAGCGCCACCTTGAGAAGCTCGGCGGTGGCCGGAGACAAGTCGGACGTGCTCTCCGACCCCGGAGGAAGGCCGTCGACGGGGGGCAGAGTCAGGGAATGAATCTGGATCTCCGAAGCCAGCATGGGTTTGATCCGGGGGACGTTCCCGGCGGCGGAGAAGAAGGAAATCTTGACTCCATGGGAGGACAGCTTGTTGGAGAGCTGCACAAATGGACTGATATGACCAAATGCAAAGAATGGAAACATAACAACATGAAGAGGATGAAGATGGTGGCCATTTTCCTTATGATTCTCCATTTTTTTTTCTGAGAAAATATTTGAATTTCTTCTTGTTCAACTTTGCATCTGTGCTTCTTCACTTTTTATTAGCGGCAGTCGCACAAAGTACAGACAATAACAGCTCACTCCCAAAATTATTCTATTAGTACTAATTTGATTTTAGTGATGTTTTTTTACCACTCATTAAATATTCTTTTAAATAAATAAATAAATATTATGGAATATATATATATATATATATATATATATATATATATATTTAATTATATTAAATTATGTTTTTAAAATGAATTCAATTATATTAAGTTTGGAACGTTCAAAAAAGTTTTTTTCCTTTTAATAGAAAACTTTGAATGATTCGCAATCTTTCTTTGTCTTCTGCGCTATTTTCAACCACACATTTTTACTTTTCTTAAATTCCTTATAAGTCAAATTGGATGCTTTTTTGGAAGAAATAAAGTAAGAGAAATTTACCTAAATAGGACTTTTCCAATATATGACCATATGTTTTTATTTTCCCATCTAGAACCTTTGGTCTTTATCAAATAATTATTATTCAACTAAATGTTCATGATTACAGGACATTATTCTTTCCACTATGTCATTATTAAGTCCTATTTTGGGAATAAAAAAGTTTAAGTCCTACATTAGGAAAGTCATTATGTTTAAGTCCTATTTAGTGCAAATTTCACATAAAGTAATTCTAAGCAGGGTCAAAATAACATTTCTATTTTTGACTTTCGAGTTAAGATTTGTATAGAGATACCCTACCTAAATATATTTTTTTATAATTTGTGTTCAAATTGATCAAAATATCAAACTAAGATGATAATTAACTAATTACGTAGTAAAAAAGAAGGTTACTACTCCTTCCGTCCCATTTTATAACGCATGTTTCGATTTATGATGTTTGACCGAAATTATTTTTAAATCATTTTATATGACAAATGGTATATATAGTTAAAAAATAAAAATTATATACTAAAATACTACATCAAAAAATCTACAAAACTAGTAGTGAAAATAGTACTTTATTTTATCAAATTGCTAACGAAAATAAAGAAATGAATTGAATGAAGTTTAACCCTGTGAATAGTAAATATGCATTCTAATTGTAATTTTGGACTAAAAAAATAAAAAAAACATGCAGTGTACTCCCAACGAAACACTGAATGATTATGAAAATAACTACTCGTACTATACTACTCCACCATTTTTGGGAAATTCTCTTCGCTCCCAAAAACGTTTTTTTTGAATTGGCAGTAAAAGAAAGAGAAATGACGAAATTTACAAAATCTCAAACTAAGAAAGTGTTTGGCAGTACTCTGCTTTTAACAATTTAGCTTTTGCGTTGAGTTGAAGTGATTTTACTCTGTTTGATATGTCAGCTTCTGCTTTTCACCAACATTATTTTGTACATGGAACACCGTTTCAGAGAAGTAAGTATGAGGTGCTTTTGCTTTCAGTTTTTATAGAAATCACTTTATCCATAGGCCAATCACTCCCAAACACCCTCTAATTGTCAAATTTTGCTTAGTTGATATTCATTCATTATTTGATAAAATAAAATATTCTTGTCATCTCGTTTTGTAAAACTTTGAACGTAGTTTTTTACTATGTAATTTTTATTTCTTATTTATGTACCAATTTATAAATAAAATGATTTCAAAAATCATGAGATTCTACATCATAATTGTCATTTTGTAATCAAAATAGAGATGGATGGAGTAATTTTTATTTTAAAATTCCCCTCCATTTTTTATACTTCTTCCGTCCTAAAATATTCTTCCCATGTACTTTTCACATGGTCAAATTCTAATCTTTTTTTTACCTATTTTCATTAGGTATTTGATAAAATAATATAGTTTTGACACCACTTGTTTTGTAGAACTTTTGGTGTAATTTCTAGATATATAAATTTTATTTTTTAATTTTACACCTGCAATCAAATAAATTGAATTGAAAATAAAGTCGGTCAAACCTCGTAAACACAAACGGGAAGAACATTTTAGGATGGAAGGAGTACAAAATAATTTGTTCTTCTTGTTCAACTTTGCATCTGTGCTTCTTCACTTTTTATTAGCCGCAGTCCTACAAAGTACGGGTTAATAGCATGTGTGCCCCTCCTAGTTTACAAAAAAGACGTCAAAACTCTCTCTGTTTTCAAAAGTTATTTGTAAAGTCCTTGTGATTTTTTAATGGAGTACACATGCCTCCCCAACCTATTTTTAAAGCAAAAATGACATTTATGACTTTTGTTTCCCCGATCTTGAATTTTTCCAATTTCAATTTTCTTTATTATACAAATATATAAAATAAAATATATGCTTCTCATCTCAAATTAGAATTTTTGATAATGTACTTTTGAAAACAAAAGAATTTTTTGGGCAACGTTACAAAAGAAAATGAAAAATAAAATATTATGTAGAAAGTAAAAATAGTAATAGTTAAAAAAGGTAATGAAAAGAAATAAAAATATAAAAAATAGTCTTTTTATTTAACTCCATATTTTATTTTATCTTTATGTTCTTCATTTTTTAAAGTCTTTAAAAAATTATTTTACTTTAAAAAATAAATAACTTAGAATTTTTAATTAGAAATAGAGTGAGTATATGTTATCTGATTTTTTATTTTATTTATTTTAATTGTACTTATAATGAAAAAGTGTATTTTGTTTCACTTTTTGTAACATTTTCTAAAAAAAATATTTTTTGAAAATTACGGAATAAATAAATGCAAATTTTTAATTTGAGAAAGAGGGTGTATATGTTAATTTATTTATTTGTATAACAAAAAAATGTAAAGAAAATAGTGAAATTTGAAGATTGAGAAAAATCAAGGGTAGAAATGTCATTTCATATCGAAAATAGGCAAAAGGGGGTGTCTGTGCACTATTTAAAAACCAAATGGGTTTTACAAATAACTTTTGAAAGTAGAAGGAGTTTTGGCGCTCCTTTTGTAAACCACGAGGAGCACACATGCTATTACCCCTACAATGTACAAACAATAACAGCTCACTCCCAAAATTATTTTGTGAGTACTAATTTGATTTTAGTGATGTTTATTTTACCACGCATTAAATATTTAAATATGCTCTTAAATAAATAAATATTATGGAATATATATAAAGAGACTATATATATTTAATTTTATTAAAATTACATCTTTTGAAAAGAATTCAATTAGTATTAAATTTGGAACATCTAAAAAACATTTGTTTACCTATAATGCAAAACTTTGAGTGACTTGGAATCTTTCATTCTTTTATGCATTACTTTTAATTACACATTTTTACTTTTTTTCTTAAATTTTGTATCAAGTCAAACTGAAAGCTTTTTTGAAACGGAGGGAGTAATTCAAGCAGGGTCAAAACTGAAAGTTCGTGGGGGGCGCAGCGGAAATCACCAATTAAGAGCTATGCAAACAAACAATCCACTATGCTGCAGAGAAGACGTTGCAGCACTGTCACAGTAACAGATGACGGACAGTGTGATATAGCACTTCTCTGTCACAAACACGCACACAGAAGCAGATGATGCAGAGGGTGTTACAGCGCCTACTGGACAGAATGCTGTAACTATAAAAGCGTAAAAATGACACCAAATATGTTTACGCAGTTTGGAGAAACTCTCCTAATTTGCGGGGCCCACATCTGTGTAATAGCCCTCCACTAAATCACTAGATGCAAGTTACACCGGTACATAACAACATGATGAGACAACCCTCTCCGAATTGCTATGACAAAACTTCTAATCTAGGATTTCTAACCCGAACTCTGTTCAGATCCGCTTCGGCTATCACATCTCCACCGAGATCACGAGGACAAACGTATTGGCAGCCCACTCGTTCAGCTCTGGTTCATCTCCTGGACATCACGATCTGTTTGGCGTTGAAGATCTCCTCCTTCATGTAGATCGTAACCTTCTTCACGCATGGGAAGCTCCGGGATGCGACGGGAATGCTCTACATCAGCGTATATTCTTTGTTTTCCCTCTCAATCGCTCCAAGTAATTCTCAGGGACCAGCTGCGTTTTTATAGGCTTCTCTTAACACAATCCTAGTAGGAATAGGATAGTAGAAGTGTTGGAATGCATGAGTTCAACCCTTTCTGTGTTGTTTAGTGTTGACTCACAGGTTTTGATAATTGACAAACACAATTTATTCAAGTCAAGATTAAAGTGCTACAACGACAATCACGAAGACTTGAAGTGTCATTCCTTGAAGTATTCAAGAAGGTGCACAGGATTTTGTTGAAGTCCGAGACGCGTTCGGAGCGCCTAACGGAAGACTCGGAGGAGTAGAAGATTTCCGAAGACTTTTTATTTATTTGAGTCTTAGGAATTATTGTAAGGATGACAAAAATATCTTCTCTCCAAAATTATTTTTATGAGAGTCAAAATAAAAATTATATTTATTTTTGGAGTCAGTTGAAAAATCTTTTTAACTGTTCAAAATAGTTTTATTAAGTCAGTTACAAAAAGTGTGTCAAACATTTATAAAATATTTATTTTGATATTATAAAATATTTTTGGTAAGCAAAAATATTTTATTCAAATATTTTTCGTGTACATCGTTTGACACACAAAATAATTTTTGGACTCACTTTTACTCCCTTATTCAAATTCATTGAATAAGAGGAGGAGCGTTCTCAGATTCCCATTGTCTCAAACAACGAGTGTTACGCCAATTTGCTCTCCATCGCAACTGGCTTGGGCCCTTTGTGTTTTGCCCATTATTTCTTTTGGTAATCGATTATATTTCTCTATTTAATCGATTAACTGTCGTTCGCATTTCATTAATCGATTATTCCTCTTGTTTTAATCAATTAGTCCTCTCAGAGCCTTCTAATCGATTAATCTCTTTGCATTAATCGATTATTCACGCGTTGAAGGAACTCTGCGCAGACTTCATTAATCGATTATTGACACTGCATTAATCGATTATTATGCTGCATTTTTTCATCACAACTTCTTTTCTTGGACCAACGGATATATTCCTTTAACCCCTTTATAAACCTCATTCCTTGGTCATTTTTCATAACAAAAAACACTCCAATACTCCCCATTCTTGAGGTGTTAATCCTCCATCAATCCTTCCTCAAATTTCTATTATTTTGAGAGAAAATATTTGTTTTTAAGAGAGGTTTCTTGTCATCCATTAGAGCTTTAATCTTTTCTCTTATCTACTNTATTGTTGAGAGGTTGAAGAAGATTGTTCTTCTTGTTGTTCAAGGCTTATGTGATTTAAGTCTTGGTTGTGAAGTCTTGTAGAGGGCATATCTACGAGCGGTTGTGTCGAGGCTTGTGGGATTCAAGTTCTCGAGTTGTAAACGGTTTGTTAAGCACCCGTAAGCTTAACGGAAGTAGTGGTAGCTTCGAGAGAGTCTCTCGGGGAACTGGACTAGCCACGAGGTGGTGAACCAGTATACATCGGTGTGTTCTTTGCCTTCTCTATTTTATTTCCGCTGTACTTTCGTTTATCTTATTTAATCCTGCGAAAATCGGTAATCATTCTCAACAACTCTATTCACCCCCCCCCCCTTCACTCTAGAGTTGCACGCCTTGTCTAACAAGAAGTTGGCTTGAACTCTACTTCATTAATCTTGATCCACAAGTAGCCTAAAGAGTTGGAAATCCTTAGCATGTACAACTGGAGTTATTATCATGTAATCACAATCCCAGTAGGTCTCCAATTCAGATTTCAACTTAAAATCCCGTGCTCAGACCTCTGATCCCGCACACTGTGTTACAACATCGTGTTGTAGCATCTTCTGCGTCAACCTTGAAAATTGCTGCAGCTCTAGATGTCTAAATAAAATAAATCTCTCCTAACAAATAGAGGTTTCTACCTAGTAAAACATCTAACAAATATGAGATTCTGGCCAAAAGATTAGCCAACACCATGGAACTAACAAAAACAACATTTCTATTTTCATCTTTCGAGTAGCAATTCATTCAAGGGATATTTTCGAATTTTGAGTAGCAACTAAATATAGTAACTTTTTTTGTAATATGTGTTTAAATTGATCAAAAAAATCAAACTAAGATGTTAATTAACTAATTAAGAAAGAAGGTTTCTCAAAAAGAAAAAAAACATGGCAGTGTACGCTCCACCGGAACACTGGATGAAAATAACTACTTGTACTATACCTACCCTTTTTGGGAGATTCTCTTCACTCCCAAAAACTTTTTTTGAATTGGCAGTAAAAAGATAGAGAATTGCCAAATTTTGTTTAGTGGTACGTTTTTATTCATTATTTGATAAAATAAGATATTATTGTTAATCTCTTATTTTGTAGAACTTAAAACGTAGTTTTTTCATTTGTAATTTTTATTTCTTATTGATGTATCAATTTGTAAATAAAATGATTTCAAAAAATCATAAAATTTTGCATCATAACTTCCATTTTGTAATCAAAATATAGACAGAAGGAGTACTTTTTATTTTTTAATTCCATTCCATTTTTATATAATACTCCCTCTGTCCCATTTTAAATTGCTTGTTTGTCTTTTTTTCCGTCCCAAAATAAGTTGCATGTTAGTTGTTTTCGGACTATTAAAAATAAAATACCTAAACTACCCCTAAAATAAGTCACTCTTCTTCACCTTATCTTCTCATTCATTGTCACCCCTCCTAAAAAGTAATGACAATTTTGAAGAATCAACTACGGAGTATATTTTTTCTTTTCCTTAAATATACCCAAAAGTCAAAACAGACGATTTAAAACAGGACAGAGGGAGTATAATTTAATAATGGCTTCAATCAAATATCATAACACAAAATGAAGAGATGATTTTTGGACGAAAAGAGTATTTATTTACAAATGAGGACATGACTGGTTAACAAAAATAAAAAAATTGATTAAGTGAGACGATTAACTCGAAATGGAAGTATTTTATTCACTTGAGGTTCTTCAGAACTCCAATAACCACCTTAAAATACCAAAAAATTGTTGTCAGGTACCCCATATTTTGTGGTAAAAACTACCGGGTACCTCCAATTTAGAAAATATACTCCCAGGTACCCTGAATTTTAAAAAAACATACTAACAGAAGATTTTCCATCCATTCTCCATTTTTCCAAGTTTCTCCGTCAAGTTTTTCACCATCATCATCATCATCATCATCCCTCCACCATTACCATCTCCTTCGTTCTTCCTCCCCCTCTTATTCTTCTTCTTCTTCTTCTTCTTCTTCTTCTTCTTGACGGAGAAACTTGGAAAAACGGAGAATGGATGGAAAATCTCCTGTTAGTATGTTTTTTTAAAATTCAGGGTACCTGGGAGTATATTTTCAAAATTGGAGGTACCCGGTAGTTTTTACAACAAAATATGGGGTACCTGACAGCAATTTTTTGTTAAAATACAGTGAAAAGGGGCCAAATAAATCAGCACAAAACATAGGTTCCTCAGGTCTTATAAAAAAGTTCATACTCAGCTACATTTTGACACTACAAAAAGAGATGATAGATGAGTTCCACACATCCAAATCTTACATTTGGTCACAGACCGGGCAACGGATATTGTGTGGTCAAGGCTTCGACTCTTCCACGAAGGCCCGAGACTTGACTGGTTAACGGGAATTCTGGGGAAGTAACAAATTTCAAGAAATCTTGAACCTTGGAACTTGAAACTAGTTTTTTAGCTTCAATGGCAATTTGCACGCCCTCGTGGATGAACTCGGCAACTTCCACAAATTCCTTCTCCGTGAAACCTCGGGTCGTCATAGCTGGTGACCCTATACGAATGCCACCTGGCACTAGCGCGCTTTTATCACCTGTGCATTACATTGCAACATCGTTATTTTCTCCTTTTTCCCCATTTTTTAATAATGAAAATTAGAGAAACAATAAAAGTCCAGTTAGGGAACTATCCCCTTATTATCTTAACATGGATCCGCTCATGTGTACGCAGACATTGCCGCTACTTTGAAGTAGAGAAATTGTTCCAAGAGACTCCCGGCTCAAACAATGTGCCAAGTCATGTGAGGAGATAAAAAAACTTATATACTCCTAGTATATTGTTGTTTTTTTTATGAGGGAGTGTCAAATGTTACATCTGACTTACCGGGTACAGAATTCTTGTTGAGAGTGATAGAAGCCAAGTCGAGGATTTTCTCCGCTCTAGCACCATCCATACCCTACAATGGCATGGGCAAGGATTCAAGTATCTTTAGGTGATGTATTAGGGATTGAGGGTATTAGGGTAATAGTTAAGAATGGTATGGTAGCAACCAAACAACTAATCAAAACGATATTCGACCACCAATGATGACAATATATTGGTGTTCTCAAAGTTGGTCAAGATTGTCGAGAGATTAACAAAACACACATTGGCACATATAATTACACGCATATGCTTGTACAAAATATTCTCGGGACGACTTACAATAGGTCTTAAGTCAACAAGAACCAGATGATTATCAGTCCCTCCAGACACTAGTTTGTAGCCCAACTCCATTAACCGTGTCGCAAGAGCTCTACAATTTGAAACTACCTGAAGAACAGACTTAATGCTTTGAAACTATTCTGGAAACCAGACGTAAAAGACCACGATAAATTGGGGGAGAGAAAATGACAGAATACCCTCTTTTGGTACGCATTAAACTCCGGTGACTTTGCGTGCTTCAAGCAAACAGCAAGCCCCCCTATAGTGTGATTATGTGGACCTCCCTGTTTGGATATACAATGCCCAGAAAACAAAACAAAATAAACCACAAAACCCCCAGTAAAATCCCACAAAATGTGAGCTGATGAGTGCAAACCTTACTCCTGTTTCCAAGAGAGTCACTCGCTCAAAAACAGAATAAACAATAAGAGACAATAAATTGGTAAATGATAATTGAAGTGGGAATTGAACAGACCTGTAAACCTGGAAAAACGGCATTATTAATGGCAGATTCTAGATCAACTCCGAGAACAGGATCCTTCTTGAAGAAGATCATGCCGCCTCTTGGTCCTCTCAGAGACTGGAGATACATAAATACTTGTGTCTAGTTTAGATAGTTCCCACTTTGATGAGAAAAACATGTGGAGTTGATCTTGAAGAAGACCTTACCCCTACTAATAAAGTAGAGAGGTTTCCCATAGACCATACATTTACATTCTCCACTAGCAAATTCTCTGGTTCAAGCACAAAACCTCAGAGAAGAAAATAGAAACCTCACCTTGTGGGTAGTTGTTGTAACAATGTCACAGTACTCAAAAGGGTCAGCAACAACAGAGGCAGCAACAAGCCCACTAATATGAGCCATATCCATCATTAGAAAAGCTCCAACATCATCTGCTATCTTTCAAGAGACACACCCACACACGCACACACATAGGTAGATTACCAAACAGAAGATTAAAATATGAGAGCAGTGAAATAGAAAAAGTTGCCATTTACCAACTTGATATTTGAGTAATTGACTATACCTTTCTCATGCGAGGATAATCAAAGTCTCGTGGATAAGCACTAGCACCACAGATGATAAGTTTAGGCCGAAAAAGTGTTGCTGTTTTCTTAAGCATGTCATAGTCAACAAGTCCTGTACATTATTTGGAAAACATCATACTCTGTACCACTTAACATTTAAGGGTTCGTTTGGAGCCTGGAAAATGCCAACAACAGCCCAGTACAACCCCAACTCTGTTTGGTGTTAGAGGACTAAAACATTATGTTCATTATCTTAAAAATTAAAACTTAACCGTAATTCATTTTCCTTTACATTTTCCCAAGTAAAGCTGGAGTAATGAAAAATACATTCCTAAGATTTTTCCCTCCCCTTTGAAGTTCTGGGGACACCAAACATACCCTTAGAGTTGTCCAGAATAATCTTCAAACAAACATAATAAGAAGAATGCATACCTGTAGATTCATCAAGTCGGTAAGGCATAGATTCAAAATAAATAGATGTTCCTGAAACCCGTCTTTTGGGAGTCATGAATCCATGAGACAGGTGCCCCCCATGAGGCAAGTCCAATCCCTAGTAGAATGAAATGTCAGAACATTTTTTGATTATACAACAAACTCAGCCCTACTTGACAGTAGAGAGGATGTTTCCAAGAGACCCTGTCTTTTTTATTAAAAGGAGTATATTTTTAAAGTAAATAACAGTAAGGTTTACCATTATCCGATCATGTGGGTTAAGAATGGCAGTATAAACTTCAAAATTTGCCGGAGAACCAGATAGTGGCTGAACATTTACACCCCATTTGCTTCCATCTAGGTTAAATGCGGCCAATGCCCTTCCCTGGCAAAGAATCTCTAGCTCATCAATGTACTCATTCCCACCGTAGTACCTAAAAAAAAGAAGAAAGGCTAACAATAACTTTTTTAAGCAAGTCATGAGTAAAGGCCAAACACAAGTGGTGTCTAAAAACACATAGGGTGGCTTTGGTTTGGATTTTCAAAATACATGATTCCAGTATAAAAATAATGTGACTCTAAAAATTACGAGATTCATGGGATAGGGTGATTTCCAAAATCTCATTTTGGAAAAGAAAATCACCTATCTCATTTTTTCCTAAATACAAACCAAATAGACAATGGTGATTATGATTCAATAATCGGCAAAATCGCCCTACAAATGCAAACCACAACCACAAATATACCTACAATTACAAAGTTCTCTGTTTAAAAGGAAACTTCACCGTTTTCCAGGAAGTCCTTCAGAATATTTATTTGTGAGGCAAGAACCAACTGCTTCCATCACTGCCCGTGACGTGAAATTCTCCGAGGCAATGAGCTCCAAACTTCTAAATTGGCGTTCTTTCTCGTTGTTGATAATTGACAGGACATCAGGATCAGCTTGGCTTAAATCATAGTCCGTGAAGCTGGCACCTAGAAAAAAGAAAAAAACTCACAGCTTCATAGGCATTCTAAAATAAACATAATAAATTGAATTCATTGACTTCAATTGCTAAATACAATGTTATTAAAGGGAGCACCATTTATCTACTGCGGGAAACAAGATCAGTTGTGCAGGAGAAGAATATTTCGTGGGAAATGAATCATTTTCAACAAAATTTAAATTCACATGAAACAAACAGAGTCTAAAAATCAAATTCATTGTCCTAAGCACTTGCCTCGAATTTCTGGCACTGTCACAGAAGAAGTCGTCTTGCCAGTAGCCAAACACCCTTTAACTTGAGTAGCTCTGCAGGGCCTTAATGAAAAGACCCTAACTTTATTAGAATTCAAACATATTCCAGAGCCCTTCACCAGATTCAAAGAAGACACTTCTGTCCAGACAGACTTCTGAACAGAGGCCATCGATGTAGCACCACAGCAAGCTTCCATATCGCCTCGATGAAAAAGAGGAGGAAGAACTTGAGAATTTTGCTGATTCAGAAAGGAAAAAAAAAGAATAAAAATCATAACAAAAAGAACTGAAGAACTACCCTGTTTTTATCCCCTAAACATGGGGTGTTACATTGTGCAATGCCACAATTTCCATTATATGTTGGCTTTTCACAATATTTTTTTGTATTATATATTGACATTTTTTGACATATGGGTCTGTTTGGTAAGCTGGAAAATGAGTTCTGGAAAATAACTTGAGGAAAATAAGTTATTTTCCTAAAGTCATTTTCCTTTTGTGGTATTTGGCTAAAAGTATGAAAACTGTCGGTTTCCGTTTGTTGTCTTTCTGAAAATTGAGTATCTCAGGAAATGATATTTGATCACCTAGGGACGGACCTCATCATCAACAAAATCTTTTCTTCTCCAAATCTTCCAAGAGAAGTAAAATGAAAAAAAAACTCCTTTAATCTTAACTAGATGAATTGTAACCCTAAAACAAAAAATGATGAATAGTACAGACCTGAAGGGCATTGAAGAACAGTGTTTCGAACTCAAAATTGAAATTTTTTCATTAAGACACGAGCAAAATTATATCCTAGAGGATTTTAAAGAACCAGGTTGATGAACAAAAAATATACGGGTAACCCTAGCCAATTTTGAATTGGGCAGAGAATTTGTTCTGCGCTCACTGTGTAGAGGTCGAAGAATAAGGAGATGTTTCCCTATTGTCTAAAAGAATTAATTAAATAAACAAATACGGAGTATTTAACTTCATAAGCAAATTACAAGAAAAAAAACATTGAGACGGAGAAATGGTGAATTTACCTTTAGAAACAGCGGCAAGAAGGCGGAGTGGTCACCGGCGTAGGGTATTGGTGGCGGCGGAATTCGATGCCCGGCGGACTTTGAAGATGTTGGTGTTTGCCGGCGGTCGGAGGTGGGGCTGCGGGTGTGGCTTGCTCTTCAGTGCTGTGGACTTCGGATAGAAAAATTTAGGTTTTTATCCCAAAAAAACAGGAAATCAAAACGGTGGTTTTTTCAATAGCTCAATAAGCAATATTCTTTCAACTTACTCTTTCTACTTTTCTTTTTTTTTGCAATATACGGAGTATATCGTAAAATTTGGTGTACTATATTTTTCTTACATTCTCAATTATTATTTATTTAAAAGCAATTGAATATTTATTTTCAAGCAACATAATTTTTATTTTTAAGCAAATAAATATTTATATTTGAGTATCTGAATATTCATTTTTTAAAATCAACTATGCACGAAATTTAAGATTTTAATTTCTCAAAAATAAGTGTTCAATTAGATGTACGAGAAACATTTTACATCCGTATTAAATGATGGGGTTGAAAATACGGAGTAATTTCTTATCCCCACGACCCCACCAAATGCTACAGAGGCTAAGAGGAGCTCACGGTGGTTATTTGAGATGGTTTTTCTAGGCTAGGAAAGAGTGGAGTAGGCAAGTCCATGGGAGGCAAAGACATACTCCCTCCGTCCACTTAAGATCTTCCCATTGCACGTTACGAGGCTTGAACGACTTTATTTTCAATTCAATTTATTTGAATATAGGGGTAAAATTTTAATATAAAATCTATGTAGTAATAAACTACATTAAAAGTTCTACAAAACTAGATCTGACAGCATTATATTATTTTATGAAATGAGTAGTGAAAATAAACAAACAAAGTGAATTAAGTTTGACCCTGTGAATAGTGTCTGGGAAGATCTATGGTGTACAAAGGAAGTGTTATAGAATCTCTCTCTTAAAAAAATTGTTATCTTCTTCTCCTTTTTTACAAAAGCTATGAAGCTTAGTTAATGGCTTCAAGGTCCTACACTCATATGCCTGTAAATTCTTATGAGATTAATAAAAATTTCTCCCTTTGACATATTACTGTCTAAAAGGCATGTAGGTTCCTCTCAATTTCGGTTTCCACGTAAAAATACTTTCTCTTGCTTTATTTATTTATTTACCGGATTTTACTCTTAATTGCGATGCTGACCCAGCACCGAGTTTGTCGGGTCGACATCCCAAAAAAGCGAATTCCATCGATTTCATTTGAGAAAAAAAAAGAAAAGAACAATGGAAAATATACAGAAAATCAAATTAAATAAATACCCGGAGTAAATTAAAAAGAGGAAAAACAAGTTTTATCCTCTTTTTACAGAGTAAAAGAAGAATTTTTTTCGTACTTTCTAATGTCTCAAACCAAACATAGTGCGTAAGTAATTTGAAAGAGTGTTAAGAAAAAAAAGTAAAATGAAAAGTAATTATAGTCTTGGACTCGAAATCCCTCCAAGACCATGATATTTTTTCACGACACAACCAATTTCTTTCCAGAAGAGACATCAAAACCCACTTCCGCATGATATTAAGTTTTCTCTTCACGAGGCTTCAAGCTCTTCTACTCGTGAAAATCTAACATGTGTGATCTTGTTAACGTATAGATTATTAATATATAATTTCTATAATTTTTTAATATATAAATTACAAGATAAAATGGATTAAAGAAGTGTATTGGATGGTGTATAAAATAAAAGTAGACAAATACTCTGGGACAGAGGTAGTAGCAATTTTAAAAAAAAATTGGTAAACTTTTAGGAATTGCATAATCACTTTAAGATATTGAAATTATTTTCGAATATACTAAAATACGTCAATCGAATAATTGTACAAGACATGCATAAACTTGCAAGAATAAGACAGGGTTTCGTTCAACTTATTTTTCTGTTTATTACTCATTTTTATTATAATCAGATCAAATCAGACCAGATAAAATCAGATTAGTCCATATTATATAAAATAATCAATGACACAAAAATCATGAACAATATGAAAAAGCAAAAACACATGTCAGGGAGAAATTGTTGTATCATGAGAATCACATGAATATTAAATTTTCACTCAAGGAAATCAGTGCATGAAGAAGAAATACATATGTGGTATGCAAATGTAATCCCTCCAATTTCAGAAGAGATTTCACAATTTCTCCATCTATGAATACAAAACACACACACACACACACAGGTTACATACAATTCCAAAGTTTTAAAAGAAGAAGAATAATAAATTGCAACTCCTCCTTTGTGTGAACTCTGATTATTCAATCCAAGTATCTGAACAAATTGCATCAACTTTGCTAATGGGAACCAATTGTGTGTTTTTCATCTATGGACTAAAAGATGTACTACCGTTTTCCTTCAAACCACATGAGTTGGGAATGCTCTGCAAAAATTGCATCCTCATAGTGGGCTCTCGAGAAAACCGGCCCAACACGGCAACCGTGGCGGTGTTACTCCCTACCTTCTCGATCCCTCGGGATATCATACACGTGTGGCTGGCTTCGACAACTACGATTACGTCCTCCTCCCCCGTTGCTGAAGCCACACTCTCTGCAATCTGTCTTGTTAGCCTCTCCTGCACTTGAAGTTTATAGCCATGAAAATGAACTATTGACTGCAAGGTTGATTTGGCTCCTCCTCCTCCATTTGAACCACAAAGGTATCCTATGTGCACAACCCCATAGAATGGAAGAAGATGGTGTTCACATTGTGACCAGAACGGCAAGTTCAGTTCAGAAACCATCTCTGGTTCGGAATCCGAACCGCACCTCACAAATCCTCCAAAGGGTTTCTTCATTTCCAAATCGGAATTCTTGAAGTCTGTGAACCACTTGACAAAACGGGACGGTGTTCCTAAAAGCTCTTTTCTGAATGGGTCTTCGCCAAGAGACAAAAGAATGGACCCCACCGCGTTAGTCATGACTGAATTCAGCGGTGGCAGCGTCTTGCATGAAAAGCGGGAGGGGCAAAACGGTCTCTCAATATCCTTTGTGTCCGAACATATTCCTCTCAATCTCAGGAGACCCAGAAAGTCTGTCCACACGTTAGCTTTCTCGTCCTCAAAAACTCCAGACCCAGAAGTGACCAAGACCTTGACCCACCCATGATGGATGTGGATGTGGGAGCACTGTAGAAGAAGAGCGACCCCCGTTGGATTGAATGCTTGCTGTAAGGCGGCGCACACCTGATCAGAGAGATGCTGAGGATTCTGAAGCCGTTTTGCAAAGATGTCAGCCACACGGGAGAGCTTGCTGAGTCCTACCACACGTTGTTCAGATGGGACGTATCCCACGTGGCACTTGATGTGGAAGGGGAGTAAGCAAGACTCGCAGTATGAGAAGAGATCTATGTCACGGACGATCACAAGCCCGCCGGCCCCACCAGCATGACCCACACCTGCTCCCAACCCAACTTCTGGGAATAAGGCACCATGTACAACATCATTCACTTTCTGTCTATACCCTGCAATGTATATGGAGAATTAATCAATGTAGCAAAGAAATGTCTTCATACATGATATTAGGAACAGAAACTTATCAAACATGTCAATACTAGCTACAATTTCACCAAATCACTTTGGGTTTTTCACCCAAATTTGCAATTAACAAACGGTTCTAAATCACATATATGCGAGGTTTATTCAAAAGCTTGCATGATACTCGGTATATAATTATATCCAAAGAGGAGAGCGAACTTTTTCAAAAGCTTGTAGTATATAATGAACTAGCCATCCACACAATGACGAATTATATCTAATTTCATAAAGAAGACATATTTCCCAACTTCTAAAAGCTCATCAAGAAAATGACGAGGTCTATCTAGTTTCCTAAAGAAAGCATATTTCGATGGGTAAGAAACAGAAAAATACTGTTCCTACCATTTTGCAGACTGAATCGGCCATACTTTTCCCCATCTAATTACCTTTACACCATAGGCAAATGAATGGATCTAAGGGCAAATTCGGGAGGAAAAACATGTACATGTGTAAACTTTGTGAAACACCATTTATATTGCAAAAAGTGACAGCATTTAACACGCCAAACATATTGAATCCGAGGGAGTACTATACTTAAAATATGTTGCTGCTATTAGTCATCATTAAAATACAAATTAACAACCACCAAACTTTGTTCCCATACCACATTACGAGTATTACTAAGTTGAGTTAAAACAAACAAAAAGCAAATTGTTCCATAATTAGCAAAAAAAAGCTTGATACTCATTCTGCCCATGAAGAAAGGTTTTTAGGGAAAACCCATATAACTCGTAATACTTCTTGCAAAAATTTAAACCACACAATTTCGACTTTCTTAGTAATCGAGTCCGGTCGATTACGAAGACCAATATGAAGGGTAAGATATATATGTATATACCTTTGGTGCCCTCGCGGAGGGCCTTGGCGACCCGAAAAGGGGTTTTCCTGAGACCTTCTCTATTGACATCCTCGCCCAGACCTTGCAGGAGGATTCTCACAGACTCCTCAATAGCCAGGGTCTCTGGTTCATCCTCAACCCCGAGATCAATGCAATCCCCAAGCCCCACTCCCCCATTCTCCAGCTCCGCATTGTAATGATCCTCCACTAAAGCCCCCATCGACGGCACCCAAAGCTTCTTCTTCCCTGTCAAATCAAACCTGCAGCCGGTCAACGAAGATCCGAAAACAAACCATATCAAATCAACAGAACTTCAGCTGGAGATCCAAATCGGGGGAATTCTCCACCAATCAGCTTATCCAATTCATGACATGAGCTCATGTGCGGGGGAACATTTGTGCATGCGCTTTATTTATTGCTCAAATGAATAAGGAAAAGTAAATCAAAGGGAAGATGAGATGCGTTTTTTGAACCTTTTGATTGATGATGGCTAGGGCTCGTCGCGGAGCGGCGGCTGCAACAGCGGAGAAAATGGACGAAAAGGGGCCTGGGAGATTGAGGGACACCAACATACAGCTCTGTGTTTTTTTTTTCGTTTTATTTGCAGGTGATGATATTGGAATGTGTGGAAAGACACCTTTATTTTTTTTAATGTAACCATATATACCTTATTTTTTGTACATATGCATGAATATTCCTTATCTAGTAACAAAATATTCATTTTTCAATTTTAGTAACATACTACCTCCGTTCCAGAGTATTTGTCCACTTTCATTTTTACATAACATCTAATACACTTCTTTAATCCATTTTATCTTATAATTTGTATATTAAAAAATTATAGAAATTATATATTAATAATCTATATGTTAAGACAAATCAAACAAGATCACACATGACTATATTTAGGCTTACACATTAAGAGAATTTGATGAGTCAAAGTGCTTATATGAACAGTTCCAAGAGTCAAAAATGGACGAATACTCCAGAACGGAGGGAGTAATACTCATTTTCGACTAACTGAATACTCATTTTCGAACATAACTAACTTTTAAAGAAATGAATATTCAGTTGCTCGCAAATAAGTAGTCGTTGTGGATGTAGAGATATACCGTACAACTGATTGTACGGTACATATTAGGGACAAAGTGTGTCTTCCTATATCTAATTAAATTGACTTCATTTATGTCAAATCGACAATTCTGCCCTTCAAACTTATTTTGCATCTAAATATTCTCTTCTGTGTGTACAATTTTTCGATGTGTACGAGTGGAAACAAATTGCCTGCCAAAGACTTTTTGGTCATGCAGCATTGCACCATCACTGTGATTCTGTAATTGGGAAGTCACAAGTTTGAAAAGAAAACACTTTGAATTTGCATAGATGAAGAAAAAATATACTCACTCCGTTCTTAAATATTTGTTATACTTATATTCTTAAAGTAAAATATCAAGTTTTTTCAATTTATTTTATTTACATATTGATATAAAATTAAAAAATAAAATTTATATATCAAAAAATTACATGAAAAGTTATTCGAATATTTTATTTTATCAAATAACCAATTAAAACGTAGAAATAAATAAAAGTTCTCACGACTGTTAAAAAAGTAAGTGTGACAAGTATTTTGGGATGGTTGGAGTAAATAAATACTCCCTACTACACATGGTAGCATTAACGTTAAGCAAAATAAATCTTGCAAGCAACAATTCATTACTAAAATGGAAATTAAAATAAATTTTAAAAAATATGTTTGTATGAGTATAATTATACGGAATATGACACAAGGTAAATTTTTCTATGGACATAATGTTTATACTCATTTTATGAACCTTAGAGCCTGTTCTTTAGGGCTTAAACTCTTAACTTCCAGTTTCTTCCAATTTCTTCTACTTTCTTCTAGTTTTTTCCAGTTTTTCAAGTTCTTCCAGTTCCTTCCAGTTTTATCCAACTTTTCTCATTTTCTTCAAATTCTTTCTACTCCTCGACCAATTACTCTAAAAATGATATATTTCAATGTGATTATTATTATTATTATTATTATTACAACTGTTATATTCATAACTATAGTTTATAAATTAATTTTTTCATCTCAGTATTTTTACGATTCACACTTATTATTTTTTTTCTTCAACTTTTTAATATGAATAAGACATTTTTTGTATATTAGTCTACATGATAAAACAGGAAAACATCAATATGTTAAATTATACTAAAAAATTATGGATAAAATAGTTACATTAAATGTTTTATTAATATAAATTTTTATAAGACATCTCACTTTTCCCTTTATTACTTAAAAATTGCTCATTTTTCTAATTTTTATAAAAAAAATTGTAAGTCAAAAGAGCTTAGAGAAAAAGACTAAAATATGAGTAAAACATAAAAAATGTTAACAAAAAAGTTCTATGTCTTTATTCCAAAAATAGGAATTCAATGAAAATAAAATGTCAATCATGAAAGAAACAATAGGTTTGATTATGTGACATGTATGATATTTAAAAAAAATATTTTAATATATAAATTATAATTATAAATATATTATTTATAATAAATATTGCATAAATAAACTGAGGTGCAATATAACTACACAGCCTTTTTAAAATTTAATATTTTTATATTTATGCTAACTTTGTATTATAATTATTTTTTGTTAAAGTAGTTTTTTGTATTTAAAAAGTAACAATACTTTTTTATATCTTAAAGACATTAACTAAGATAACGTGATGATAATGATGATTATGATGATGATTATGATGATGATAATGATGATGATAATGATAATGATAATACTAATAATTTATAACAACAAGAATTTAAAATAAATATTTTTAAATTTTTTTTAGGTTTTCCAGTTTTTTCCAATTTCTTCCAGTTCATTCCAATTTTTTCCAGTTCCTTCCAGTTTTTTCCAGTTTCTTCCAGTTCTTCCAGTTTTTCTAGTTTCTTTCAGTTTTTTCCAGTTTCTTCTAACATCCAGCTTTTTTTTACACTAAAGAACAGGCCCTTAGTGTATTTGTAGCATAATGAAAAGTTGGCTTTTTACAAAATAAAAAATTGTCATATGAAAGCCCATTAAAATGTGAGAACTTCCACATTTTAAATGTGAACTTTGGAACTATGTGCAGATCACTTTTAAATCGTGTATTTCAAGTTAAATATAAATTTGAAATCCAAATTTAAGTAATCAAATATATCGAAATTCTATTAACGTGTATTCTGTAACATATTTTCAATTCAATTATGGATTAAAATTTATCTAATTTAACAAAAAAAATACTTAATTACCAATATTCCAAAAATACCCTACAAACAGTCAGATCACACACCTACCGCAAGAATAATATGATCAATCTTGGGTTGTTGGGCAATGGGCAGCCATTCACGACCGCATAAGAAAAAAATGATGGATCCAATTTTGTACACCAACAATTGGCGACACCACTTACCCAAAAAAAGTATGAAACGGAAAAAACTGGAAAAAAACTTAAAGACTAAAAAAAATGGGAAAAAAATAAAAGAAAGTTTTAAATAAAACTAGAAAACTTGAAAAAATTGCAAAATCTAAAAAAATATTTAAAAATTTATTTAAATTTATTTTTTATATTATTTGGATTCTAATTGTTGTTGTTATAATTCATTATTATTATTAGTATTATATTCATAATCATGTTATCTTAATCAATGTCTTTAAGATAAAAATGTGTTGTCATTTTTCGTACACAAAAGTCTACTTTAGCAATTTTTTAAATTAGGATATAAATTTAGCATAAATATTAAAATGTTAAATTTTAAAAAGCTATTGTGGTTACGTTGCACTGTAATTTATTTATGCATTATCTATTATAATATAATATATTTATATTTACAATTTATATATTATAAGATTTTATTTTGAATATTAGACATGTCATATTATATGACTAAATTAATTTTTTTTCATTATTAACATTATATTTTCGTTGTAACTCTTATTTTGGGAATAAAACATAGAACTCATATTTTGGTACATTTTTTATGTTCTAGTCCTAGTTTAGTTCTCTAAAATATTTTGACTTTCAACCATTTTTATCAAAATTTAATTTGAAAAATACTTTCATCATATGAACTTAGAAGAGTGTTAATCGTAAAAATAATGACATGGAAAAAATAAAAAATTGAATAATTTATAAACTATAGTACCTTATGAACATAATAGTTGTAATAATAATAATAATCACATTAAAAATATAACGTTTTTAAAGTAATTGTTTAGAGAGTAGAAAGAGTTTGAATAAAATGAGAATAATTGAAAAAATTGGAAAAAACTGAAATGAGCTAGAGTAACTAGCACAACTAAAAGAAATTAAAAGTTAAAAGTTTAAGTTCTAAATAACAAGCTCTTAGAAAGAAACTTTTGTGTTTGATATGCACAAAGAATTATTATCAAGAATAGAATTGTACACTGTCACATAAGCAAAATTCCATTTTACTATGATTCCATCCTAGCTAGAACTTTACATGGTCCTTTACTACTAAGCAAAATTGCCATTTTACTATGATTTTATTCTTCTTTATTTTCTTCAATTTTGTGATTTTATGGTACAATATACCGAGTATAATAATCTATGAAATTCAACGAATAAATCAAATAAATTAAATGCATATTTATTGTATTAAGCTTGTTTGGCAACAACTTTAATATTTAGTCTTAACCATTAAAAACAAGAGAAAAAGACTAAAGTAACAGTATAACATTGAAAAAAAATACCAAAATAGGACTTCTATGTTTTTATTTCCGAAATAGAAGTTAAAAAGCATTTATATTACCAAACATGGACGCGTACATTACTAAAACATATAGTACGAACCATGCACAATGCCACATTACTAGTACATGACTATTGAGTACAGTGCGAACTCTTATTTCGATAATAAAAATATGAAAGTCCTATTTTGTACTTTATTCTATGTTTTAATCCTATTCAGAGAGATTTCCTATAAAACAAACTAGCAAACGACAACATTTATATTACTCGTAAGTATTTTCAAAATTAATTTGTAGAATTAAAAAAAGAACGATTGTATTGAAATTAAAACAATTACCATATGCTAATTAAAAACGCTAACCTTTTAGAGTCTGTTCTTTAGGGCTTAAACTTTTAACTTTCAGTTTCTTATAAATATTCTAATTTCCTTCAAACTCCTTCTACTCCTCAGCCAATTACATAAAAAGTTATATATTATTAATGTATTATCATTATTACAACTATTATGTTCGTAACTATAGTTTATAAATTATTTTTTCATCGCACTATTTTTACAATTCACACTCATTATTATTTTCTTCAACTTTTTAATATGAATAAGATATTTTTATATATATTAATCTACATGTAAAACAGAAAAACATCAATATTTTAACTATATTTAAAAACTGTGGATAAAATAGTTACATAGAATGTTTTATTAATCTAACTTTATATAAGACCTTTCACCTTTTCCTTTATTACACAATTTATTTCAAAATTTAATTTTTTTCATTTTTCTAATTGTTATAAAAAAAATTGAAAGTCAAAATAGTTTAGAGAAAAAAACTAAAATATGAGTAAAACATAAAAAAATGTACAAAAGTAAAAGTTGCATGTCTTTATTCTAAAAAAGGAGTTACAATGAAAATAAAATGTCAATCACGAAAGAAAAAATAGGTTTTATTATATTATGTGACATGTATGATATTTTAAAAAAACCTTATAATATATAAAGTATAATTACAAATATATTATTTTATAATAGATACTACATAAATAAATTGAAGTGTAATGTAACCACAATAACTTTTTAAAAATTTATATTTTTATATTTATGCAAATTTTATATCATAATTATATTTTTTTTTTCAAAACTAGTTTTTTTGTGTATGAAAAATGACAATACTTTTTATCTTAAAGACATTTATCAAGAACGTGATAATAATAATAATAATAATTTATAACAACAAGAATTAGGATCAGAATAATATAAAAATACACTAAAATAATTTTTTTAAAATTTTTTAATGTTTCCAATTTTTAAAAAAATTTCGAGTTTTTAGTTCTTTCCAGTTTCTTCCAGTTCTTTTTTCTTTCTTCCATTTTCTTTCAATATGTAGCTCTTTTTTTTCTATTCCTAAAGAACATGCTTTTAAGCATACTTGTTGAGGCATACTCTTTAATTCTTTTTTTCTTCTTTCTTTTTTTGAAAGAAAATTTTTTCTTAAACATTGCTATTTATTACCTCTGTCCCCAAAATACATTCTATGATTAACTTGATATGAAAATTTGAAAAAAATAAATTTGTGTGATTGTAAGTGCCCAAAAGGCATTAAAAAAAGTGGGCAAAAGGAATGAAAATAATAATATATACATTGTAGAAATTGTTCCGAAAGTGGTTTTTTTGTAAAACAAAAAATTATCAAAGTTTGTAAAAGTTCACAATAAATTATGTTAAAGAGCATTCCACATCGAAAAAGTGTGAGGAAATTTATCGGTATATAAACTCTTGAATTGAACTAACTAATCGATTGAATTCAATCTTTTAATGTGGTTCAACCCAAGTGTCTTATTACTCAATCCAGTTGTCCATACTCATATCAAATTCTATCATGGTATCAGAGCATATTTTGGTCCACCTCGTTTGTCAAGGTGTCCGTCTAGACGTTCATTCATAGTGGCCCGTTTGTCTTTAACCCAATTGTCCGTATGAAGTATGTACCCAACGGCCTGTGGCTCGTTTAACACGATTGCTCGTTTGGAAGTCCATACCCAGCGGCTCGTGGTCCTTTAGGTTAGATTCAAAATGGTCCGTTCAACCGGTTATATTCAAAATGACCCTATTGTCCACTTAAGGGAGAATGTTAAAGAGTATCTCACATCGAAAAAGTGTGAGGAAATTAATCGGTATATAAGCTCTTGAGTTGAACTAACTAATCGATTGGATTCAATTTTTTAATGTGGTTGAACCCAAGTGTCTTATTATCCAATCTCGACGAGTTCCGGCCGCAGAGATTCCTGCCGGCGGCGGGGCGGGGGAAGCATTACGAGCACGTGCTGTTCGGCGGCGGGCGTGCGTCGGGAGTGCTTACGCAATGCAGGCGACGCACCTGATTATAGCCCGCTTGGTTCAGGGGTTTAATTTCGCGACCCCGTCGAATGGACGGCTGGATATGAACGAAGGCTTGGGGATTACTCTGCCGCGAGCTGAGCCGTTGGATGTGGTCATCACGTTTGTATTTATTTTTTAATAATACTCCTTCCGTCCACATATAAACTTTCCGTTGCGCGTTACGATGTTTGACTAAAGTTATTTTCAAATCATTTTCTATGAAAAATGTTGTAAAATTTAAAAATAAAAATTACATATTAAAAACTATATCAAAAGATCTACAAAACTAGAGGTGATATGATTATATTATTATATCAAATGAATGACGAAAATAGACCAACAAAGTGAATAAAATTTGACTCTGTGAAGTTTATTTGTGAACGGAGGGGATACTTCATTTTTTTGTTAATGTAGTGTATGTTTGGTAACAACAATTTCTTAATTTGATTTTAGCTGTTTGAAAATTATTTAGTAATAATTAATTTCAATATTTTAAAATTATTATTCTCATTCATTCAACTTTCAACTTTTTCCAACTTCTTATAGTTTCTTCTAATTATTTTCATTTTTTCCAACAACGATTTAAAAAATATATTTATATGTGATTCTTACATATGGATTTGGGTGATCATTTAATTGAGTGACGTTTTAATACTTAAATTCTTCTAACATTTTTCAACTTTTTCAAACCTTTTCCAACCCCTTTCAGTTTCTTCTAGCTTATAGTTTCGTTCAACATTCGATTATGAAATTGTAAACCAACAGAATATAGCCTAAATAGACAATAACATCTATAAGCATGCTTGGTACAAATTTCAGTATTTAGTTGCAGTGTTTTTAAAAAATTATATAATGATTGCGTTTTCAAACTTAATTTGTGACATTAGAAACTTGTTAAAAATCTTAATACTTACCGAAAATGCTCGAGCCAAAGTAGACCTATTCATCAGCAGAAGAAGTTACTAATATATATGTGTGTTTGGTTTAGTTGTAAAAAATTAAACTGGACAAACAACAATAACTACATAACACAGAGTATATGTTACGTGTGAATTCAAATATTAACTGAATTGATTTTTTTTTGTATCTACACGTCTAACATTCGCATCAAATTTCATTCTCTAATTTTCATTTTCATAGACTGGTTGATAAAGGGTGAAACTTATACATAGTAATTGCAGAGATTCTATGTTTAACATAATTGTCTTTGAATGTAATTTTTAGGAATCTAATTCAGATATTATCTCATTTGACACCCTTACCGAGCCAACTTTGCCGCACCCTTGGTGAAAGTATTAGGAATTAAATAATGTTAGAATCACAAACAAAACATACACAAAATGTACAAACTTATCGAAAATATAAAATAGTAGTTCTAAATAATGGTCTCAAATAATTAAAAAAAACTCAAATTCACAAATGTAAGTTAATGTATTTTGTGAATATTTTATTTGTGACTATAACATTACTTTTAGAAATGTTAAAAAGAGATGCGGAAAGTCAATGATTTATCATATCTTAATCTTATTATAGGTAAATGCATGCCCAAGAAAATTGTTTTATTTTTGGACACAAAGACTATATTTGAATTTGTACTTTAAACAATCCAAATGGAGTAAATAGCATATCACTCGGGGGGAAGCAAATATAGAATGAGAGTCCACCTAATAAATTCATCCCAAAACGGCTCTTCTCCCCTTCTCCGGTTACCCCTTCCGCCAAAACCCCCTCCCTTAAATCACTCCAAACGCATTCGCCATTTCTGCACAATCCACAGGTTTTCCATTAATATTGATTCGTAGCAGAGAAGAAGAAGAAGAAGAAGAAGATCAATCGGATGGGCCACAAGAGGGGTTCTTATTCTTCTTCGTCTTCTTCCGTGAACAAGCTGTTCTCATGGGCGAGGAAGCAGTCGATGAAGGTGAAGCTCTTCCTGGGCCTGATCACGGCGCTGGCGGCGCTTCTGGCTCTCAGCCGCTCCGTCAAGGACCGCAACCAGTTCTTCGTCGCCGCTGAAGCCATCCATTTCGCCGGAATTTTGGTCTTGATTTACAAACTCATCCGCAAGAAGTCCTGCTCCGGTAACTGATCTGATTTCCGATTCCCTCTTTCAATTTTCGTCCCCTTTCCCCCCCTTCTTCTCTCTCCCTTTATTAACCATTTCAAATGGCTTTTTTTCTAATTCATCTCTAGCCCAATTTGTAATGGATTATCTCCCGGACAATAACCCAAACTAGTTTACTCATTATGAATGGATTACTTTGACATAAGTATTCTGCCACATTCAATTATTTTAATAGTTTTAAGGGTTTTGACACATGAATTTTATGTAAGGTTATCCTCACACATGAATTCTCAATGGTTTCTTCATTGATCTGACATCTACTGGTTGTGTTTTAGGGCTATCACTCAGGTCTCAGGAGCTCACAGCTCTATTTTTAGCTATAAGATTGTACTGCAGCTTTATCATGGAAGCTGATATACACACCCTGCTAGATTTCGTCACGCTTTTGTCAACTCTATGGGTTATGTACATGATCAGATTTAAGCTGAAATATACCTACATGGCGGAGCTTGACAAAACGCCCTTATATTATATAGTAAGCCTTATTTTTTAAACTCTGCTGTTCTCTTTCTTTCAACTTTGGTGCTGGCTCATTTTGTTTATGAATCATCATAAGTGAAGTGATGAGTGCTTAAAAGTGGGTTGTTCTAAAAAGACACCACTTTAAACCAAACTAGGTTCACCTAGGTGACAATATAGTATTGTATATGATGTTTCATGTATAAATATATGTATGTTTCTTTTGACAGATTGTGCCTGCTGCAGTTCTAGCTGTTCTTGTGCATCCATACTCTCATCTCAATGTAAACATCCATAGAGTGGCATGGGCATTTTGTGTGTACTTGGAATCCGTTGCAGTGCTACCTCAGCTTCACATGATGCAAAAGGCTAAGGTCGGTCTTAACTCTTAAGGTTGCTGTGTGATTCTGTATTTTTTTAAATCAATGTTCGGTATGGTACTACTCCATGATCTTACCGAGTATACGACCTTAGAGTAGTTGGGTAGACCGCAGACCATTGGGTCTTAGTTTGTACTTTTGGCGGGTGTGTTTTAATGTCAGTCTCCAGCTTATGCTTGTGCCCTTTGGGTTTAGTTGTTTGAGTCGGTATATGTGTCCCTTCTCTCTTCTCTCCCCATTTGTGCTTCTTTAGTGCTATTTTGGTATTTTTGACTATACTTTTTCTAAGCCTTGGAAACAACCTCTCTACTTCTGCGTACACTCACCTTCCCAAACCCTACTTTTTGTGGGATTCCACGGGTTTGTTGTTGTTTGGTATGGTACAGGACATATGAAATTTCAGGAAAATCATTTTCCAAGTGGAAAACATCTAACTAACTAAAGGTGTGTTTGTTTTTGTGTCTGTTTATCAGCTGATAGAACCATTCACAGCCCATTATGTGTTTGCGTTGGGGGTTGCGAGATTCCTTGAATGTGCTCATTGGATCATTCAGGTTGAATTGGTGTTTTCTGTTCCCCAAACATGCCATAGTGCATGCCTCAAAGCTGTTTATTCTCATCTTCCCTCCCATTGTTGTGCAGATATACGAATCGGGCGGGAAATATTTGTATCTAGCTGGAAGTGGATATCTCTGGGTACCTGCTATTTATGCAGCAGAAATGGTCCAAACCTTCATTTTAGCGGATTTTTGCTATTATTATGTCAAGAGGTGAGCTAACACCTGCACTTTGTTTTTTTTTTGAGTAAGGATATATTCACACCCAAGGACAACTGTAGTAATATGACACCGGATATTTGAGGCTCATACATTGTTCTCTTAGACATCGAAGTTGTTCCTAGTTTTCTACCCCTTGCCCAAAAGAATCTTTCTTGTTATTTGCCCCCACAATCGAAGCAAAAATGGCAAATTTAGGGGGTGGAGAACGTCAAACGAGGTTTTTTTTTTGGGGGGGGGGGGTAGAGGGGATAGAAACAACTTCGGGGTCTAATAGAATACCGTAAGATCTTGATGCCATAATATGACATCTAAATGTGGTGCCAAGAGAAGTTTGATGTTTTTTTATGTTTTTTTTCATTTGTATGAATGAGCTCACATTTGTCATTGTTTTTTTAATGATTGTTATTGCAGTGTCATGAGCGGCAAACTACTCGAGACCCTCCAATCACCGGTCTAAAGTTGTATCTTGATTCTTTAAGAGTTAACAATTGTAACATTTATCGGTGTTTTAAGGTATACATACAAACATGGTTATTAAATTATTCGAAGAATGTTATGTGCGCTCCCATCTTAAAAGTTTGAAACAACGAATCATGATGAGCATGTTTAGAAATAGCGTTAGCCTTTTGAAAAGGCTATCTACGCGCAGCGTTTAGCATTTTCAAAGTAATTCGCACCGTTAAATTTTTATCCAAAACGCTAACGCTAATCACTAACGCATTTCCAAACAGACCCGATATCTCTAGATTTTAGCACCTGCATTGGGTATCATATCCGACCATTTGAGAGTTTTACAGTGGTACTATTGAATTTCAAAGTGAATCTTATCCCCCTAATCCTCGCACCACTATACTCTTAAAATTGTCAAAATGCCAGTGTTTCAAAAACTGCTAAAATATTATTATGGTACTGTAGTATTTCATCGATTGATTTCATAAAGCTAAGGTTAGGGGTTATGATCCACTTCGGGGCTAACAAGGCACTGTATGGTTCTGGTTTCATAATATGATACCCATAACTTTCACCCCATGTCATCCTGCAATTGTTGAAATGTTAGAGTGTTCCTAAAATTGTCAAATGTTGTATCGATCGTAGAATTCCATCGAAAATTCTAGAAAGTTAGAGTTATGAGATAAGACCCACTTCAGTGGCAACAAAGCTATGTATGACTATGGTGTCATAATAAAATACATAAAATTGGTGTCAAAAGAGTTGTATTATTATTGTAGGGATATGTCATTTTGATATTGGATTTGAATGTCATAATTTGACATCGTTTCATTAAAGGTACGTGCACGAGGCAAATTATATGGTACATCCAACTGTACTTTCCTTTAAGTACATCATGGTATTTTTGTAAATTTTGCAAACTTTTTATCTAATGTCAAGAACATATATGAGAACTATTATATATGACAATGAGTACCAGCATATTTGAGAAAGAGTACAAGCACTTATGAGAATTATTACATTTTTATTCAATACAAATATGAATAAAGCTGGGTTTTAAATTCTCCATGCTCAGAGACTATAAATGAGTATGAACGAATCGAATAGAGGAAGAAGTTAATATTGGTACTGAACTTTTTAATTGTGGAAAAATTGAACAATACTTTATTTCAGAATGAACATTTCCTTATTTGAGAATGAGTACTGTTTTTTAAAGAATGAACACTACACTATTTATTATAATTATATTAGATAAATGTGTAAAAATGAGTACTTCTTTATTTTAAAATGAGTACTATCTTTGCCAGAATGAGTCCTACGTATTTCAAAATGAATGTTTATATTTTTACGAAAATGAGTAATAGTTTATTTAAGATTGAGTACTACCGGAATGTACCTATTTCTAGGTACATCCGGATGTACGATATACCAACTCCGTGCAGGGCATTGTTGGGTTTGAAAGTGATTTCTATTCTCATATCAATCAAACTATCTTAGAGCAACTCCAATGGAAGGGGTATATAAAAGGGTAAAGAGGAATATTTGTGATATATACCTCTTTTCATTAAAAATCATTCTCCAATGAGAGAGGTAAGCAAGAAGGTATTATACCTTCTTCAATTTTGAAGAGATATCTTTACCTTCTTCATTTGGGGAGGTATATCAATTTTTCTCACCTTTTAAATTTATTTCATCAATTACTTTTGTTATTGTATTTTTGCTTGAATGTATTATTATAAATTATTAATTTGTATTTTTGTCATTGTAAAACTTAACGAGTCAAGAATTAACAAAAAAAGGATATTTTGTTTTTTAATCTTGCACTCTGTTTTTTTAAGTTTTTTCTATTCGAGTATTTATAGTTTTACATTTGTAATTAGACATAATGTATATTTAACTATTTCAAAACTGACATTCTAATTTTTTTCCCCAATAAATTAGTTGTATTTTTATAAAATCTTTAAATTTAAAAATTTAATCAAGAAGAAACAAAGGCAACAAACCTCAAATTACCTCCCCATGATTTTTTTAAGAATATATATTTTCTTTTCTAATAATTAAAATTTGATTTAAGAAGGTAAATCAACTAATTTTTTCCCAATAATGTATGGAGATGGATTTTTTCCCTCTTTTGCCTTTTGATTTTACCTCCCCCCATTGGAGTTGCTCTTAGAGTTGTGCAACTAGGGAATCATTTATTCTTGAGCCATTTTGTGTGATATACTGATATGTCACATTATTCTTTAATGTTTTTGGGGATATGTCTCAGAGAAATTGAATCTTTACTCCAAAACTTATACTTATTGGTGCACTTCTCTACTCTTTATTTGAAACACTTTTCACAATTTATCTGATTATAATATAAACACTTATTTTTCAGTTTTAACACATTTTTTATTTTAAATCGACATGGAGGGGGTAATTATAATGCATTCAAGGTATTTTCTTTATTCTTCGTAATTAATTATCAACTCATACTTAATAACTATCAAGTCACCATTTTAAATATCATATATTCAGATTAGTTGGTTGTGTGGAGCAGTGGTGTAAAATTGAATGATTTCTTGGAGTAGCAGTGTAATTTATTGAATTTTGGAGTATTAACGTAAATCACACTTTTTTTGGAGTATTCATGTAAAATTTTCCTTTTATGAAATATAATTATTAAAAATCTTAATATTTAAACTTTTGTGTTACGTTAATTTGATTAAATCTTAGTAATTTAAATGTTCTTTATACTATATTAGTTTGTTTGACTACTGATGTTGATCCGTGTGTGTATATTCGAATATTTGAATATTATCTGAATTGAATACAACTCTCTTTGTATTTGTATTTGTATTTGTATTTGTATTTGTTTAATATTCAAATCAAAACTAATATTTGAATTTGAACTTGTATTTGAATTATGCGAATTCTAATCATTATATATTTATATTCTAATACGGATCACGAATCGAATTAGAGTATTTGATTTGTTTACATCCTTTTCATGACACCCAATTTTAATTTATTAAATAATTAAATAAAATGCATCTTGAAAAAAACATAGTTCGACCTTGAAATAATATTCAAGTTTTTGTTTTGAAACAGTGGGTGTAATTAAAAGGGAAAACGGTTATAAATGATCAAAATGTTTTAAATTTAAACAAAAAAGGCAAATTCTATGCACGGTGGACCTAAGGTTCACCATAGACCTACATATGAATAAAATACGTATTTCCTTATTACTTAAATAAACATCTATTTTTTATAATTTTAAAAAAATTATGTGAGAAGATCTACAAAAATGATATACACTCAAGGTGCATTAAAGAAGCTCTCAATGAAAAAATAGATTTGTAACCAAGAATTTATGAGTAATTTAAAGGATACTTGATGGTGATTGTAGATCTATAAGTATAAGTGAGTGACTACCAATCAGAATTATAATTTTTGAGAAAACAAATGAAGTGATCATAGAAAAATTTCAAATCTTGTGAATAAATTATAACTAATCCAACTACATGAAAAAAAGTACGTTTTAAAGCATGCTCTAAACATGCAAGATTAATTTGAAATTACATTTTGAGTCACCCAAAAGTGTCATTGTAAGGCTTCGTTTGGTAAATAGAATTCATACTATATAATTATAATTGAGGATAACAATTTCAATCCTACTATTTGGTAGCACAAAAATATGTTGATTTGGATTTGGTAGTGCCAAAAATGAATTGAAATAGGAGAATTTAATTTCATCCAAATCAATTTCAAAGAATTTTAACTTACAACTCAGTTTCAATTCGTTAATTTCGTGTACCAAACAGACCCTAAGTAAATTTATACTCCATTCGTCCTAAAATGTAAGCAACATCTCGAATGACGTGCGAAATATCATCTATTTTAAAATCATTTTATTTACAAATTAATAGAGAAATACAAAATAAAAAATACACAGTTCAAAAATAGATAAAAAATTCCACAAAACAAGATGTTACATGAATATTTTATGTTATTAAATATTAACCAAAATGAGTAAACAAACAAAAGTTATAGAGAGACTGAAATAATAATTGTTGATTACATTTTGGAACGGAGGAAGTAAAAAATAAATTCTTATTATGGAGAATGACTTGTGACATTATGATTTTTTTTGTAGTTGTAAAGATTATTTGGGAATTGGGAGTAATTCTTAAGTGGACCTTGTCCAAATTTACCATCTCCCAAACGGGGCCTTGTCTAATGAAAGTTGGGTAGCTCGAGAAGTAGAAAGGTGAAGTGGGGCCGTTGAGATACAAAGACGATTTTTCCCCTGACCAAGACTTTCTCCTCCCAATATTTCTGCATCTAAAACCCTAGTTACACGCACCGTCTCCGGCTCCGCCTTCCGCCGATTCGAGCTCCGAGCTGCCGACTAAAGACTCCGGTGACCGAAATCTGACATACCTCTCTCTCTCTGCGGTCAGATTCGTGTCCAGGTATGCGTATAGATGTACCCAATGCATTGGGCATGTTCGCCTGTACTCGCGTGTGTCTATTTCAGTATTTTGTTGTTGATATATGCTGCTAATCGAACGCCGTTTCTGCGGGATCCAAGTATACTATTTCAATCACGTCTTTGTTTTTGTCTGGCTAGGGTTTTTGAGGCGATCTGAGTTTAGATTGGAAGGCGATGGCAGCTGAGACGGCAGCGGAGGCGGTGCCGATGGAGCAACCACATGTTTCTCCTCAAGTTGTAAGTCTTTATTTTTAGTAATCTCCACTTAGTGAAGCACCCACGTAAGGGGTGGGGTATAGAAAGTTGGTAACTACTTGATGATGAATGTGTTTATGTCTTTCTGAACAACAGGTGGGCAATGCATTTGTGCAGCAGTATTATCATATACTTCACCACTCTCCTGAGCTTGTATACAGGTTTTACCAGGATGGGAGCAAGCTCGGTCGACCAGAGGAAGATGGGTCCATGAGCATTACTACCACAATGCTAGTAAGTCATTAAAATATCAGGTCACTGACAGTTTTTTAATCTTTGATGAAGTATTTGTGAATCTGACACCTTTGTTGTTCTGTCAAAGTTACATGTGTTACACAATCTAGTTCTGTCTCTGATTGTTCGCTGTTATCTTGCTAATGTCAATGTCTTGTTCTTTGTTGGTGCACACAAACACTTTGCAGGCAATCAATGAAAAGATACTCTCTCTCAACTATGCAGACATTACTGTAGAAATAAAGACAGTTGATGCCCAGGAGTCTTTTAAAGGAGGTGTAACTGTCCTGGTCACCGGATGTTTGACGGGGCAAGATACCCCTGTCAGGAATTTCACTCAGTCGTTCTTTTTAGCACCACAGGACAAAGGGTTCTTTGTTTTGAATGACATGTTTCGCTATGTCAAAGTTTCCAATCAGGATGACAGAAGCCATATCCCAATGGCTGATACCATGGACACTGTTCCTATAGAGCAAAGTAATACTCCTTAATTGTAGACACAGTTAAATAGATATGGATATCTTTTATGCCCAGCTCATATCATGATTGTAGCCATTGATCTTCACATGTTACTCACAGATCAATTTCCAGCTCAAGAGAATCTCATTTCAGATGAAAGCACTCCATCAGCTGAAGGAGATGAAGTGAATGGGGGAGAAGTGTTTAATCCGCACGAGGATCAGAATGTCCTGATTGTTGAAGAGGAAGAACCTGTGGCTGAGGTTGTTAATGAACCACAAGATGTTTCTGCACCGGTGGTGGTCGAGCCTATGCCCGTCCCAATAAACGAAGCAGTTCCTAAGAAATCTTATGCTAAGATTGTAAGTGATGACTATCTAGCTTCAAATGGTTATTTTCATTTGTCACAATGTTTTTTCTATGGATATCTCGAGGGTCATTTTACTCATTTAGGTAATTATCATTTTTAAAGGTTCTATGTTTAGCTTAGTTGCACTTAAAGGGAATGCTGAGTGGTTTTTGAGAGAAGGGACTGGGTTGGGCAGTGGTGGTCGATTTTGTTTATTATGTTGGTTTCTGGGAACTATAGTGGAGCTATAGTGTTACTAGGGAGATTCCTCACAGATATGCGTTGAATCTAACCTCCCAACTAACAATTTGATATTGTATTAGGTCATTGAGCTCAAGGAAAGTGCTGCTACTTTCTCTCCACCCCCTGCGCCTGTCAATCGTAACTCTGCAGTGAAGCATACAGAGAGAATCCATCCGCAGCCAGCACCCGCAGTTGTTCTCGACAGTTCAGCATCTGTTGATAGCCTCAATAACCAAGAGGGAGAAGGCATGTTTTAGTGATCTTCACTCCCATTTTTTTCTAAATAAATAGTCCCCTAACTCCCTTGTGTTTCCCTGAAGTGGTGTTCATATTATTTTTATTTAACACATGTATTACCCTTGAACAGCGGAAGGCTATTCCATCTACATAAGAGGCCTGCCCATGCATGCAAATAAGGCAATGGTAGAAGAAGTATTTAAAAACTTTGGACCTATCAAAGATGAAGGCATTCAAGTCAGAAGTCACAGAGTGCGTTAATGTTTGCTTGTTTCTTTTATGTGTTCTTACCAATTTCTAAAGTTCTTTATTTAATATCTTGTGATTATTTTTAGCAACAGGGATTTTGTTTTGGGTTTGTGGAATTCGAAGAGGCAAATGCTGTGCAAAAAGCAATTGAGGTACCCTTCTTGCATTTCTCATACCACTTAAAATATCAATCAATGTTTGCAATTTCAATACTAGTGTACTCGATTGATGTAAAATATGATTAGATTTTTATTACAAATATGCGGCAATTACACAAAACCACTGCAAGTACTGGAATATTATTATCTAGGTTTGTATGATGTTTGGTTCAACATACAATGCGTCATCTGTTTGCTTCTATCACTTTTTTGAATAAAAAACTCTAAAAATGACCCTTTTACTTGTGCTTGTTGGGAACTAACCTTGCTACCTTTTAAAGAAAGAGATAAGGTTTGTTTAGCAAATCCTTATATACTAGCTCCTTTCTAAGGAGCGCTTAGGGTGGTGAGGTAGGCCTCGAGGAGTGGTCTACCCTCATGATGGACTACTTGCTTTAGTTTGTTGTATTTAGGTGCGTGTTTGCTTCTTTTGTGTTGCTCTCTCTTGTT